ATGAATAACTTGTATTAATGGACTTTTGACGGGAAATTAAATAAATGAAGAGTTGAGAGTTGTCCCAGTGCTGCATGTATATATATGTCTGTGTGTTGGAGTGTGTGTGTGTGTGTGTGTGTGTGTGTGCGTACGTGTGTACCATTTGGCAGATGTACAGTCCTGAGGGAGTTGAGAGGTGTTTCTGTTTTCCTCTCTTCATAATGAATCTTCTTCCTTTTCCGCTATCCGGAGCTCCAGCAGATGCATCTCTATTTTAATCTCTCCCACTGCTCCATTATTCTTGCACTAATTCATAGCTTTTCCAGCTACTAATATCATAACTTCTTTTTCCATTTGGATCATGTTTTCCCTTACGTGCACACTTTGAAAAAAGCGACAAACTTAGCAGCTTAATGGAAAATCACTTTTCCAAGATAAAAACTCGTCACCAGCACTGTGACGGTCACTATTTATTATGTAATTTCCTTAAAGGAATACACCAGCATTTTTCAACATAGTCTCTATCTGCTACATCTGTATCATACTTTGATCTCCATAGACAGTAATTCTGACATGTTGTGCTGTATTTACAAAAGAACAGAAAGCCTGTCAAAACAAACTCACTTATAATAGTGGGCAATGGGCAGATGCTAAATTCTGTGAATAAACATTTGAAATGCAAGAAGTGAATTTTAAACTACATACATGTTAAGGATGAGACAGACATGAGAGAGTGTCTTTGCCACATATATTACATATAAAGACTATCACTATGTTTTCTGTTTTCTTTTCTATAAAAAAAATAATATCAAACCCCTCGCCTTTGTCTTATTTAGACAAATTTGACCCTACAAAATTACTTTTCTGTGTAAAGAGCAGTGTTTTTTGTTAGCTATATGAGTAGTCAACATAAACTTAATCAGAATGTATTCTTTTCATTTTATGAACGTAGAGTTTACATGAACTAAACATGAAAATCACGTGAATGCAGGAAAAAACATACATCATGCAGTTAGCTCAAGGATCAAACTAGGAAAATATGTTAAAAAAGATGTATGGCTTCAATAATAAATAATAATAATAATAAATTCCAAAAAATCAGTGGCATTTTGTCTTTAAATGTGTATGATGCACATGGCCAGCCACTGCTGGTTTCTGCTGAAACAGATGTAACTTAACCATTAAAATGGGTGTAGCACCATGGCACTGGGTATAGTGTAACTACAAAAATGGGTGAAGTATCACCATGAAAATGGGTTTAGTGTAACCATGGCAATGAGTGTAGTATAACTATGGAAATTGGTGTAGTGTAACAACAGAAATCAAGTGTAACTATGGAAATCGGTGTAGTGTAACCATGGGCATGGGTGTAGCGTAACCATGGCAATGAGTGTTATGTGACTATGGAAATCGGTGTAGCGTAACCATGAAAGTGAGTTTATACATAATAATGGAAATGAGTTAGGTGTTAAATTTGACACGACTTTGTTAATAATTGTGCAGAAATTTTGAAAAATTGGTGGTGTTCCCCTCTAAATGTGCGTAGCACTCTCCACATTTTGAGTTTGAACTTGAATAATGATGCCCATATGCCAGTAGGGGTCTCTGTATGCGACCCAATGAGTGAAAAGTCTGAGCGTCAAGAGCAGATGGAATTCCAACATGCACATATACAGAAGAGCAACAAGTGCATCTGACCCATCAGAAGGGCTGCTTTCTCATTTGAGCGCTTCTGCATTCCAGCGCAATATGTCACTCTGGAAGCTCGGGGGTCGATGGGTCGGGGGGTCAGGGGTGACTGAGCGCCTCTCTGAAGCAGCAGATGGCCAGTGGAGCCAACACACACAAAAAGAGACCTGCAGACTGAGACTTATCCATTCAGACCATTCAAACCAACTTGTCGGAGAGCAGAGAGACAGACGTCCAACAATGCACTTGTTACGCCTTCTTGGACCCCTGTGTCTGAAGCCCATCTCGCCTCATTGGCTGTTTCCGTCTTCTTAAAATCTTCCCGTTGTTCATTGCATCGTCCCGCCTGCTGCTGATGATTATCATAATGAACCAGTGATGTGCTCCTCTCAACACTGATGTTCTGTCTATGTTTCCACCTCTTAATTCCCTAATCAGTATTCCTATCCAATCCCTGTAAAGCTGCTCTGCTTTGAACTGAATTGAACTGAATATTTTACGTTATGCTAACTGGTGAGGTTTAAGCTTTTTGGTGGTTTTTAGCCATCTACCTCTATATAAACTTTGAAAACATTAGTTTGGCTATCAATATGGGGTTATTTGGGGTCTCTCCTCATTCAAGTAGGCCTAGATATGAGCATGAAAGCATCGATTTTCAAAAATGCCATTCCATTTGGTAATGTCAAATAACAAAATAAATGTTTTAGTCAAATGAGATGCATCTCTTTTTTGCTCAATACTTTATAATACTTCAAACAATCAATTTGCTTGTTTACCATAATAGTGTCGAGCCAGTAATGGTGTGTATCTTCTCAGACCTAGCATAGTCGTGCAAATGGGTGAGGTGTATCCATGGAAATGTGTGTGATGTATCCATGGCTGCAGCATAACTATGAAAATTGGTGTACCATAACTATAGATGTTTGGTGTAGCCAAAGTCCTCATAGACAAATCTGTCCACTCAACGGCCATCTTGGCAACACTCATATGAGAACAGGCTCCAGCCTCTTTGAATGTGTGTAAAAGTCACATTCATGTTTCACCAACTAGTCTCTGATAAAATCTGACAAAACTAAACAGTTTGCACTCTTTGGCCAAAATAATGCCCACAAAAATGCAATTTTCCAGTTTGTTTAGGCTACTGTGTGCGCGTATCTCCGCAATTAGGGGAGCTTTTCCTGTTTGCAGCTTAATCAGCAAGCTGATTGGCTCATTTTATTGAAGGACGGGACTTTCCTCCTAAACAGACATCATGTTTAGCGCTACTAGCTTTCTTATTCATATTCCAACCACTGACCTGCCTCCTGCTTTATAACGTCTGTAGTGTAGCATAGCCAAGGAATTGGTTATAGTCTAACCATGGGAATGGGTGTTGTGTAACCATGGAAATGTGTTTAGCAAACCATAGAAGTGGGTGTTGTGTAACAATGGACATGGCATAACTGTGGAAGTACATGTGGCGTAACCAGGGAAATAGATGTGGCATAACTATGGAAATGGGTGTAGTGTAACTGTGGACATTGATGTAGCATAACCATGGAAATGTAGTAGCGTACCATGGGAATGGGTGTGGCCCACTGATCCGTATGTCAGTGGTGTTGTTCCGTCTTCAGATTGATTTTTATCAGTCATATTACACTCTTAAAAAATGGTTCTTCAGGGGTTCTTTAGTCAAGAAAAAGGCTCTATATAGAACCATGAGCACTCAAAGAAACCTTTGCATGGTTAAAGAGTTCTTTGCGTTCTTCAGATTGATGGAGAATGTGCTGCAGATGGTTCTATATAGAACCTTTTTGAAAAAGTTTCTATATAGCAACAAAAAGGCTTCCACTATCGTTACAAGCCAAATAACCCTTTTTTGCTACCATATAGATCCCTTTAGGCTAAGAGTGTAGCCCCCACTCCCTCTTACTAACTTTGAAAAAGGAAGTGGGGGTACTGAATTTTGAAAAGCCCCCCCTCCCTCAGTGGAAACTAGGCCTGTGGTTGGAACCAGTCGCCTTTTAATGGGGTGCGCTGGGGGCTTTGGTGTATGTGTATGCAGTAGTGTCTGTATTCAGCTTCGGACACCTACTTTCAAATCAGCTCGCTCCAGGGTCAAAGGTCAGGGATGTGTTCGGGGTGGTGTGTATTGAACCCAGGACAGGATGGGTGTTGGTGTGTTTGGCTGCAGCTGGACCCTGCTGGCCCCCCTATTTGCTTAGTCGCAGGATATGAAAACTCTCCAGTAGAAGCACTATTAAAAAAGATACAAAATAACTTTTTTCGCTAAATATAATTGAGTGCAAAAAACAGTTTTTAGATTTATCCCAAAAATAGTCTTTCTTCTTAGTTTTGCACTGGAACTGCAAGGCTAATGATGTAACGAGTAATGATGAAAAATGGAAGTAAAATGGAAGCTTATGCCCCAATAGATACCAAACAAGTCAAACCTTGTTGAGTTATAATCTCAGATAGGCTTGCTTATGTGGTTTCTGACACTAACATATTGTTATCTAATGCACAGCAATATGCAAAAGTTTGGGCGTCCTGGTCACATTGTGTTTTGGTGATTTTCTAAATGAAAATAAGCTCACATCCTCTACATAGAACACACTTCTGCACATTTTAATTCACAGTCACTGTTTATTTGTTGAATTGAACATATCAGAGAAAATATAATTTGTGCATTAAAATGTTCAGAAGTGTTTTATCTGTGGGAGGATGTGTTAAACATTTTTCACTTGAAATCATGTCATTTGACAATGGGTGTTCAAACTTTTGCATACGACTGTATAACAGCAGACATGCAGTTTGGATAATGTTAATTGGTGGAGTATAAGCTTCCATTACTTTTTAATCACCAGTGCAAAACTGAATCACCAAAGATTCAACATTGGTGGATTGACTGCATTTGGGGTTAAAAATGATCATTTGATTTTTTTTTCACAGAACTATCGCTTTAAGCAAAGCGGCTTCAGTCACATAGACCAAGACAGAACTGTCACCTCAAATGTTTTCATGAAAGGCTTCACGTGGAGTCTTGTTTGGAAGTATCCTGTTACCTCTAAGCCATTATGGTTATAGTCACACAAAAATGAATGAAAATTGTTTGGAATTTCCAAGGCTGAAAATAAACAGCGGGACAGAATGAAGTCTACTTTTGCAGAGCCTTGTAGCGGTACGTCATGGAACGTGGAGCAGCCAGAAGGAAAGCGTGAGGGCTGTTTGGATTTGGGGGATGGGGGGGTGGTGGCTGGAGGGGCTTCCCACCGCACCGCACACGTACACACACACAAGGGCTGGCTGTGTTTCTGACACATGCCCCTCCCTCCTCTGTTTCGCCACAGATGAGCAAGAGAGACCTTGGGACAGCTGGAGAGAGAGAGAGAAAAGAGAGAGGAGATCCATCGTAACTCTAGAAGAGCTCAGTGGATCAGTGGAGTGGAGGAGTGCACAGAGAACAGCAGCAGGAACAGCAGGACTAACAGAAAACTGCACTGAGGAACATGATGGACAATTATTATTCATCCTGAGAACCTGAACAACAGCCGGTAAGACAAACTACTGTTACTCGACCTGTATATATCATATGAGAGCGAGAGAGAGAGAGAGAGAGAGAGAGAGAAACTAAGAAAGAATGAGTCAGAGAGAGAGCTGTAAGAGTGAGTGAGTGAGTGAGTGAGAAAGTGACAGAGCACTAAGAGAGTGAATGAAAGAGTGGGGGAGAAGAGGGAGAGAGGAAGAAGGAGAAAGAGAGCAATTAGGTAATAAATAAGTAAGACTTATAAAGCACATTTAAAACAACAGCAGTTAACTAGAATGCTGTGCATAAGTAAGAATATATGAAATATAAAAAGACACAAGGCAAACAAATGAACATAAAATTAAAAATAAAAGTTATAAAAAATAAAGTTATTAAGAATGCAAAAGCGAGAGAGTGAGTGACAGAAAAATTGGAAAAAGAGTGCTAAAAAGAAAGTATTATTAATATTATTAATATTTTTATTATTACAATTATTATTGTTGTTGTTTTAAACTCCATGACTACTATCACTTCTACTGAAACAGTTAACTATGCTTTGGCAATAGAAAAGTACAGTTAGTGCTCAATACCGTCAAACCACTGAAGCTACCTTGAACTGAACTGATGTATTCTTGCTCCACCCACAAATGTGTTCTTTCATGTCTACATTTGTGTTGAACCCTGGTTTCTATCACCGCCACTGCAAAGAAATCAGAATCTGTAAGTTGTTCTACAATGAACCATTTCACACCAAACCACCCTGACTTTTTTACATCTCTACCACTGAATTATGCAGAAAAAAGCAGACTGTAGGACAAGTGTTTCCTGCATTATTTCCATCAGCTACTACAACATAGTTTGGCAGCTTGGTAGTGTAAGTCAACATTATGCAGTGACTCTCACTGCATAACTAGATTGCTATAGGTTCTCATCCTGTTGAATGGGATTTTTGCCAATGTTCTGTAAAGCTTGTCCAACCTAGCAATGGTTGCTATGAAAGAATACATTTGTGGGCAGAGCATGGACAGGTCAATAGGTCAGTGACCTTTTTATCTTTTGGACACAGCCATATTATTGTGAAAGTTTTTTTTTAAGTTTAAGAAGATTGCCATGGATATTCAGTTTCTGCATGATTTTGAGCCCCATTCTACAGAGTATCTTCATTATAAATGCTTATACACCCATTGGTAGCGCCCAAAACCTGTCCTTCGTTGCTGGTAAACATACTTGTTTTTTTCTGTTTGTGCTCATAGATCAGAATGGGGAACACAGACAGTCAGTACAGCAGCTTCATCATCCCCAGCAGGTCTCGTCCGTGCTCTCTGAAGATAAACCCCTCCAAAGAGGAGGCTTTGTCCCCCCACAGCTGGTGGAGGAGCGCAGGAGGAGGAGCGTCGGCCTATAAGACCCGCAGCTCATCCAGAAATGGACAAAACCAACACAAAAACGGCCAGCCGTATGCCACCCGCCACTGCGAATACATCAAAAGCAACAATAACAACAAGCAGCAGCACAGCTCCATTCAAAACAACAGCAAATTGGACTATGAGTGTCTCCTGACCCAGCAGAACGGCTGCTATGTGTAAATATCTGTCTGTTTATGTCTACATACAATGTTTGTTTGCTGGTTTGTTTGCTCAACTTCTCACTGTAATCCATATATAAAGTGCAAAGAGCTTATAACTGGTAACTAAAGCAAAGATGTATTTCTGAGGTATCTTTCAGTAGATTGTCCTTTAAAAACATTGGAAAAAAAAGTGGTTCTTATATGGTGTTGTTCTAAAGAACCCAATTTGGCACCATTATTTTTAAGGATGTATACATGCAAGTGCATAAATGGAGGAAATGGTAATTATCAGCTGTAATTCCAATATCGGATGAGTACTAATGTTTAATTTTCCTATTTATATTGGCCACCGATACGTTCCTATTATTAAAACCTTATTAACTAACTCTCTGTCTAACTTTCTATACAGCCCGGGCAGTAGCCCTCGATCTGCTGCCAGAAGCTCTGGCTCTGAAGCTTCTCACAGTAGGAACAGTCCCAAGGTGCTTTTCAGTCAGGATGGAAGTTTGCGGGTGGAGTTTACCAACAGCAGGCCAGAGCTGGACGATGTCCCTAAAGACTCCACGCTGAGGGACAGTAAAGGCAGCTCCCTCAGCTCTGAGGCGTCTTGGTACGATTCTCCATGGGGCACTGGCACGGATCTGTGTGATAACGTCTTCACCAGTGGTCAACCTTCAGATAACAGCAGTGGCTACACAACTCTGTCCTCCACACGTACTGACGACTTCAGCTCCTGCCCCACAGCCACCCTGGACGGACATGTGAGTGACCTCCTTCACCAGGTAATAATTGTGGAGTGATTTTTATCCAGTATGAATCTGCAGTGGGTGTAGTTTTTACAGTCTTCACAGTAAGTTGTGGGGTGATTTTAATCCAATCCTGAAAATTACATCACAAATGCTCCGTTGCTAAACTTAAACCAGGTCTGATAACATTTGACAAATCATTTTTTTTTATTATGTGCATCTTAAACAGCATCTTGCATTCCAGTTTGTGTCATATAAATACTTTGATGAATCAAATCATTCACAACATAAATTGTTTTAGCAACCACATTGTATCAGTGGATTGCCAGTGTGTTTAAGAAACATTACAAGGCATATTGCAGTTGTAATGTAATTGCAATAAGGCCTGTATTGTCTCTTTTGTGCAGCCCTTTCGCCAAGCCAGGATGAACAGCAACCAGTACAGCAGCAATGGCTTCAGCAGCAATGGCTTCAGCAGCAACGTTTATGTGCCCAGTTATTCTGGACGCGCTGAGGAGGACAGCGGCATTGGAGACTCTGTCCTGCTCTCTATAGAGCAGAAAGACTTTGGGCTGACCTCTTTCAGTGACCTCTACACTAGCCCAAACCTGACCGGACCTTTTCCCACAACTGGAATACTGCCTACAGGTCAGGTCCAGGACACTCCTGACCTCCAAGAAACCCAGGCTTTTTCCTCTCTCACATTACCCTGCAGAAAACCGGTTGCCGACAGCAACAGTAGGAAGGACTCGCTCAAGAGCCGAATCCGCCGTCTCAGCGACTGGACGGGCAGTCTAAGCAGGAAGAAACGGAGGCTGCAGGTGAGGGAATAAAAAGGGGACTGATGCGGGTGGACACAAAACACCACCACCTCAGTGCTTTTGTCTGCATCATTCAAAGCACACACGCTGCTCTCACGCCTGCTTGAATGGTATCAGATGAATGCAGGTCTTTGAACGTTTCACATCTGCGTGTAATTTTGGCATTAGCTGAGACTGCTTTGGTTAGGTTTGGATGTCTTTTGTGTTTAAAGTGACAAGATGAATGTTAAACAAATTTCCTAAATTGATCACATATTTTCTGATTTTCTAAAGCAGAAAATTCAGGCTTCCAGATGGCTACATCTGCTGTTTTTAACTATACAATGGCCAGTTTTATAAGAGTATGTCATACAGTGCCAGAAAAACACAAGCAAGTCTATTTGAGATTACTTAACAACTTAAAAAGTATGTGATTTAGGCAACAGTTTACATGGTACTAATTTTGGGCTATAAGCTTCCATTACTAGTTAGCTACATTAGCCTTGTAGCTCCAGTGTGACATCAAACATGTCTTGGTTGATCAACTGCATTTGGGATTTGTAAACTCAACTGTGATTTTAATCCAGTATGAATCTGCAGTGAGTGTAGTTTTTACAGTCTGTCATTTATAGTTGTGGACAGATTTTAATCCAGTATGAATCATAGTTTGTGTAGTTTGTACAGTCTGATCTCAATAATTGTGGAATGAAAGGTCTTCTGTAATTGGCTGTATCTGGAGCTGTCCACAATACAAATATAGTCAGTTTATTTACCAGTGAACCACCAGTGAACCTATATTTGTCTTCTGAGTTTTCATATGTAATGTTGATAGTGGTGGCGGCACGGTGGCACAGTGGGTAGCGCTGTCGCCTCACAGCAAGAAGGACCTGGGTTCGATTCCCGGCTGGGTGACCAGGGTCGTTTCTGTGTGGAGTTTGCCTGTTCTCCCCGCGTCTGCGTGGGTTTCCTCCCACAGTCCAAAAGACATGCAGTCAGGCTGATTGGATGTGCTAAATTGCCCCTAGGTGTGAGTGTGAGTGTGAAGGTGTATGTCTGTCTGTCTGCCCTGCGATGGACTGGCGACCTGTCCAGGGTGTATCCTGCTTTCAGCCCAATGACAGCTGGGATAGGCTCCAGCACCCCACCGCGACCCAGAAGGATAAGCGGTTTAGATGATGGATGGATGTTGATAGTGGTGGTAAATCTGAAAAAGGTTTCTTTGGGGACTATTTGTTTGCATATACCTCTCCATCGTGAATATATTTTTAAAAATGCATTTTAGGCCAAAAACATCCCAAAAATATCATTAAACAATGTATCCAGCAACAGGAAGAGTATTCATAGCTCTTTCAAATAGTAAGTTTCTGTGAGGGAGCATTTAAAGGTATTAAACTCTCTGGCATCTAGTTCGTATCACCACCAAAGTAAACAATTCTGACCCAGTATGTTTCTCTAGAAACTAATTCTCACTTCACACCACTCTGAATTACTTTGTTCACATCTTAACCATTTAATTAAGCCCAAATCAGTCAGTGGCATTGCCCTTTATGGTCCCTTTACACTGTTCAACACTTACTGAAAGTGTGAAACAGCACTGTGAGTGCAGTGTCAACCTTCTACTGCAAGTGTATGTTAATGTTTACTCTCCTCATTATCACTCCAGTGTTGGGTTCTTCTTTCCTCTCTCAGGAACCCAGCGCTCTGGAGGCCTCAGAGCCGTTCAGCAGTGGAGTGGATGGTCTGCTGGGAGACTCCAGTCTTCAGCTGGGCTGCGGGCCATACTGGAGCAGTCTCGTGTCCAGCCAGACGCAGTCGGCCTGCTCTCTAACTGACCCGTACGTGCTCTGGAAAACAATGAAGTATTCAGCATGCTTACAGCTCTTAAGGCATCAGTTTGCATAGATCTTTTTACCTTGGTTTAATTAAGCAATAGAACACAAGATACTTACTAACACTTCACTTCCAATGTTCTTTTGCTATAAGACACCAGTTTTATAAAGGGGAAAGAAAAGCAGCCCAGAGCATTGTTTCAAATATGCTTTTAATATTGGCAGTTTCTTCTGACAAAATGTAGTCCTACCACAAGTGGTATGTTGCCAAAAAGGCAGCTGAAGTTTGGCTCAGGGATGACAGATTTGGAGTTGGACCTACTAATGTCACATGTTTCTTGCTGCAAGTAAGAAAAAAAACTCCTTTCAAATTTTCTGTTTTTATATGTATTAAAATATGGTCAGTTAGCTTAGAGTAAAACAATCATTTTTATTACTTAGCAACTTACTTGGTCATTGGAATGATGCAAGTATGATGGAAAAAGTGCCGTTATCTATGGAGGCCCTTTCCCATCAAGTAGAGGAGAGTTAAAACTTTCTTCTTTCTGTTTCTAGCAGCAGTAAACTTTGATTCAGCATATCAAACTAACAAGTTTTTTTTTCAAAATTATGACTTAGCATCTCAAAAAGAAGACTTTTTTCTCAAAAATGTACATATTATGTAGAAATAATTACTTATTATCCCAACACAATTACTTACTTTCTTGAAATGTAATTATTCATTATGTCAACATAAAATATTGGAGTATTTCAAGAAAACAACTAATTTTTTGATACTAAGTCAAAATTTTTGACTACATTCATTGGTTTGGACTTTAGTTCAACTAGATTTTGTGTGCTGTTAACAGAAGTAAATATATTCTATTAAGAAAAGGAGAACAAGAGTCTTGAAAACTTTAAAAAATTGTTCTACCTGTGTTGTTATATCTGTGTACAGCACTGTTGCTACATAACAACAATGGTCACTGCTCAGCTCCTGACAGAAAGATAGAATTTAAAAGTGTAATAGTTTTAAACAGTGTTTCGGGGGGTCTTTGCTTTATTTTTAATTTTCCTCTCATTTACTTTCACATTATTTTACTTTAGCAGAACAACTGTGAAGTTTTCATAATAACACTCTATACTCTATACACTCTATAGCTTAAATGTCTGTGTTTGTCCATTTAATATATATTCCCTCATTATTAACTGTTTTTCACAGTGTGCAGCAGAGCCAGAGGCAGAATGTTTATGAGAACTTCATGCAGGAGCTGGAGCCGGGTGGCAGCAGTAGTGGTGGTGCGCTGGCGGACGCTCTGCAGGCGTGGGAGTGTGACGGGGAGCAGGGTGAGAGCAGCAGCGGATCTCTGGGCTCTCTGGAGCAGATGGAGCTGCTGTTTGAGAAAGAACAGGGCGTAGTGCGCAGGGCCGGCTGGCTGGCCTTTAAACCGCTCATCAGCCTGCGTAAGGAGCGCAAACTGGAGCTGGTCGCACGCCGCAGGTGGAGGCAGTACTGGGTCACACTAAAAGGTGAGAATGACTCTTTTGTATACAGTCCTAGTCCTGCAGAACCCCTGCTCTGCACGTTTTAGTGTTTTTCCTGCTCTAACACAACTAATCAGCTCATTAACAAACGAGCTGAAGTGGGTGTGATAGAGCAGAAAACAGTTAAACAGAGGGGCTACACTGGGAACAGGGTTAGGAACCACTGGTATATGAGATCACAGTGAGAGTATAGCTACACGTCACTGCACTTAGTTCACATTAAAGGTTTAGGTGTTAGTCCTATAAATTAAAACACAAAAGAATCATCCAAGTTGAATTATAAATTGTTACATATTTTTTTTGTATTAAATGCCCAAGAAACTACTAAAAAAAACACAGGAACATCCCCAAAGCTTAACACTCATTAAAAATACTAAGATCTTTGAATATGCATGATTATGCAAATTGTAAACACTCTCTTTGCTGCCCTGTTTCTAAACCCCATCTCTTCCCCACCACTACCCTGCATGCTGTTTCTATGTTTCTAAGCTCCTACTGTAACTTTAATAATCAGATATTCTGTCTTTCTGTCACTCCAACACAAGTCACTCAATTTCACTCCCTCAGATTTGAGATTCTATCCTCTAAACTTGTCACAGTGCAATGTAAGTGAGCCACAATTAACCTGTGTGGTTGTCTGTAAAGCTTAGGCCTTCTCACTAAGATACCACTACTTTCTAGCAAATATGGAGCAAAAGTAGCCTAGGCTAACAGCTCCACATACAGGATGCAAATATCAATGAGCTGGAATGAATCTGTGCTGTGGTGAAACTGTTGCATGCTAAACTACACAGGTGCCAGCTGACGCCTTGCTCATGTCTAGCAGTGCGTGTGACCACCCTCACAATTGAACCCTGTGGCGCTGCCGCAGGCCTCGGGTGCTGAAGTAACGGGAGGAGAAGCAACAAGTTCTCTCTCTCTATCTCTCTCTCTTTCTCTCGGCTTAGGTGCTCATGCAGTGAGAGCCAGCTGATGCTGGTTTGGCTTCGGCAGCGTGGGCTCATGCCATCTCCCGCGGCTCTAATCAGGGCTTGGGGCTCAGGCTTTGGCTTCATGCTGCCTGGCACATGCTCTCATTATCATATTTCAGCATATTAGACCATGATAGGTTCAAGGTTGTTTCTGATGTACAACACTAAGCTGCTATGTAGCGCCCCACAAGTCGCAGTTTTGGATGTGCTGAGAAAGCCTGTGTTTTTTAATGGAAAAATATGAACTCAGTACACAAATATCAGTATATATAACCATCATAAGTCATTCAAGAGGAGTTTGCCAAAAGAATAAAACAAGGGAAAACGTCTAAAAAAGAGTTGAAAAATCTTGTAATACTATTTTATAATACTCGTTTTTAGATGTCATGCCACAGTGTCATATTTTGCAGTGTGCCTAAACAGACAATATGAAATACATATAGTGAACAAATAATTACAAACAGATACGGATGTGACACATCAAAATGTGTAAAATGGTAAATGACAAAGATGCCATGCAAGGTGGTCACAATATACAAATAGAAACACTGTGTTCTGTTCTCCCACAGGCTGCACACTGCTGCTGAGTGAGGCCAATGGTAAAGGCTGCCCGGAGCAGGATGCCAGCCCACGTTACGCCCTGCAGGCAGAGGACAGCATCGTACAGGCCGTCCCAGAGCACCCCAAGAAGGAGCACGTCTTCTGTTTGAGCAATGCTTTCGGAGATGTCTACCTGTTTCAGGTTTGAATCCAGTCACCTTTAGATTTGAAGTGTTTACCTCAAATGTAGTCGATCAGCCAGGACATGTTTGATGTCTGAAGTTGCGTAAATGATCACATAGTTGCCTCAGAGTACACTGAGTTGTTAAGTAATCTCAAATAGACTTGCTTAGACTTGTGATACGGTTTGAGGCAAGTGTGTGATGATTTAGGCATGCAGTTTGCACAGTGCTAATTGATGTTGAGTCCTTAAAGGAAAGTCTGATCACTCAGGTGCCATCTCGCTAACGCCCCTGTGCAGCTATCTCCACTCTTACAAGAACTGGTTTCCTTTTCTTTGCATGTAGAGAGACCAGTAAACCTAAAACTAAAAGCTACATTAATGGTTCAAAAACACAATTAAAATCACTGGTAAAATCTGACAAAAAATCCATGACAAAGTAGTTTGTTTGGCTCAAATAACACACAATAAATTGTGTTTTTTCAGGTTCCAATGCAAATGTACTCTTGTCTTTACCAACAAGAAAATTGACTAAATCTATTTAAGGCTGGGACTTTCTTTAATACAGCCGCCATACTATGAGCTATGCTGCCGTATGAGCCTCATAGCTCCAGTGCACCTAAATAAACCAACTTCAGACACCAAATGTCTTGGCTAATCAACATACAGTCTGTCACATTTTTCCAATTTAACCTTAAATACAGACTGAATACAGACTGCAAATAATTTTTTTTTATATTTCTGCATCCAGATATTTACATCTGACGAGTAGATTTGCTTCACACAGTAGATACTGTAGCATAAGCTGTATAAAATCGCATTAAATTGAAAAATAAGAGTGCTGTATGCAAAATAAACCATTTCATTAACCATCAAACAAAAAGCTGATGTAGCATGAATGTTGAATACTGAGCAGGTGTGACTGTAATTTAGCTACAACTAACTTAGTTCTTGTTCTAATTCATACAGATAGTTAGTTAAATCTGTCTTTGTGGATTCATTCATGACACAGCGGCAGATACAGTGTGTTAGTACACTCACTTGCAGTAACTTCATTCGTTTTTCAAGCAAAAACGCCAATGCTATCACAATAAGAGTCCCATATAATTCTACTGTTGTAAGTCTACTTGATTAAATTGAACACTAAACTATTTATTAAATACTCTGTTTGTTTATACTTTTGCTACTACTACTCTACTACTAATAATAGTAATAATAGTAATAGGAAGGCGAAGAAGTGTTTTTATCATTTGTACTTGTAGGTGTTGTGGTTTCTAGCTGCTGTCCTCTACTATAATATTAGGTTTGCAGTGACAGAAGAAATTCTAATGAACACTGACTTATGTGCGCTTCTGTATGTGTGCATGTTATGAAGTGAAAGTTCATGCTTGGAAAAAAAAAATGGGACACTCATATGAACCCCTGCAAACCTAGTTTTATCTCATTCCTTTGGTGTATATTGTCTTCAAAGCATGCATGCCACAAAAATATGAAGCGTTTAGACATCTTACAGTGTTCAAAATTATTGCCTGCAAGCTTGAAGCAGGATCAGATTCAGAAACCACATTGTGCTTCACAGTGTATTTTAGTTGTTGCTACTCCAGCTCATAATGACTATGTTGGTCTACATAATATTTTCTCTCACTGCCAGTTTTATAACTATGTCTTGGTAAACCCTGTACTGCAATGAAAAATTGGCTGTGCGTGTCTCAGCTGGAGGGTTGTGTGCACTCATATTTGTTGGCCTTGTCTTTGCCTGGGAACAGAAGAAAGGCCCATTGTGTGAAGCGTTGTTCATCAACTTTCTGCTTTAAAATCTTCCTCACTGCTCTACAGAGAGATGTGATGGATTCTGTGTACATATTAGACACATATACATACTACATACTACATACAGTGCAAATACATCAGCAGGATTGGGGTAGTTATTAAAAAAAAGGAATCCATTAGAAATGATTTATTAATTTTCTCAAATTATGATGGGATTACTTTACTCATTACTGCCTGGGAAAAGTAATCTCAGTACTCATTAATCTAGTGCTGTGTTAGTCTATGAAATATATACTAATCTGTATTAATCCAACTAGAAATAACAGAGGAAAATCCAGCACTACTTTCAGTACTTTGTTTAAAAATTATTCAGTAACTACAGGGACTTAAATGCAAACAGGTGGAGCTAATTTAAGGTTATAGAAGTGTGTAATAAAACTTTGAGCCTGCCAGAGGGGCCTGGCCATTTAAGGGGTTAAAGGGCATATCACTATTCCTGCCTTTGAACAAGACATAGCTAGTTATTGTTGACCCAAAACATTATGACCATATTATGCCTAATATGCAGTTGGTCTTCCACAAGTCGCCAAAACAGCTCCGACCCACCGAGGCATGGACTTTATATGGCCTCTGAATGTGCCCTGTGGTATCTGGCACCATGACATTAGCAGCAGATCCTTTGAGTCCTGTAGGTTGTGAGGTGGAGCTGCCACAGATCTGACTTGTTTCAGCACATCCCGCACATGCTGGATCGGATTGAGATTTGGGGAATTTGGAAACCAGGGCAACACCTTGAACTTCTCATCATGTTCCTTAAACCATCCCTGAGTAATATGTGCTATGTGGCTGGATGCATTATACCATTGAAGGAGGCCCCAGCCATTGGGGAATACCATCACCATGGAGGGGTGCAACTGGTCTGCAACAATGTTTAGGTACATGGCACATGTCAAACTGATGTCCACATGAATGCCTGGACTCAGAGTCTCCCAGGAGATCATCACACTCCCTCCACCAGCTTGCCTTCTTCTCACAGTGCCTCCTGGTGCCATCACTGCCATCTGTTGACTTATCATGTAATATATCTTAGACCTGCTGTTACAAGAGAATCAGCGTTATTTGCTTTATCTATAAGTGGTCATAGTTTTTGGCTTGGTTTGCGAGTAACATATATTATGTAATTCTCATTATGTCAGCAACTGTGATTACAAGTTAAACTGTAATGTGTAACACTGCTTTGCTACAGGAAAAAGTAATCACAATACTGCGGCATGTTACCGCATTACCGCCTTACCCTCAGCACTGGACATCAGTGCAAAATACAAATACATTGCAAAGGCACCAGTGTAACATGGTTAAGGCAGCCCTCTACATGCTCTGTGATGTCCAGCTGATCCACTTATGTCATGTTTAGCAGACACAAATCACACCACTGGTGCCTCCTCCAAACATCACCACGGAAACAGGGCTCTTTGCCACGCCACAGTTCCAGTTGCAGTCCAGGGAGCTTGCAGCGACCAAGACTTGGACGCTTCACTGTGTGTGTGCTCGATTTTGGAAAAAAAAGTCATGACTTTGTAAAAAGGGGAAACAGAGCTAAGCTACAGGGGCAACAAAATAATCCTGACTTTGTAATATGCATTTTACAAAAGCTCAATGTTTCATTTTTTTAAAACTGACAGGGCCAAAACACTTCTTTTTGGTTGCTGAGGTTAGGGTTAGGTTTAGGATTAAAAGCAACAGAAAACATATACATAACAGAAAATTACACAGAAGCCTCAAGATCTACATGTAATATCAAAGTGTCCAGTCTTTGCTTTTACTACTGCTTCCGTTCTTTTCAGGAGACTTACTTTCAGTTTTTCACAGAAATCTGCAAGGATGTTTTTCCACACCACCAAAGTTCAGTCTTAGAAGTTGCCTTTTCTGCTTCTCATGATCCAAATAATCCCAAACAAATTCAGAGATGTTGAGGTCTGGACTCTGGGGTGGTCAGTCCATTGTTCAGCTTCTTTGTTTGATGTGTCTGTCTCCTTTTCTCAGTGAGGCTTCTTGATAGCTACACATCCTTTCAGACCCATAGTGCTGAGTTGTCTTCTCACAGTGGAAAGATGGACAGAAACACCTGTGGATCTTTGAGATCTGAAGCAGCTTGATTTTCTCCTCTCTCTAAAAGTGCTGTTTATCTAATGTAACCCTTCTGATTGTCTCTCGTTCTAAAGGCTGCTAACCAAACTGACCTGGAGAACTGGGTGACAGCCATCCACTCAGCCAGCGCCTCACACCTGGCCAAGCGTCAAGGCAAAGAGGACACAGTGCGGTTGCTGAGGAGCCAGAGCAAAACCCTGCTGCAGAAGATCGACATGGACAGCAAAATGAAGAAGATGGCTGAACTGCAGCTGACTGTCATCAGTGATCAGAAGAACAGGAAGGCTGTGGAGAGTCAGGTGAGGGATATAGAGGAAATGTGTCCTTTCAGGAAGTAGCTGTATGTGTTTGATAGATGTTTGGATAGTTGCACTATCGAAGAAAACATTTATTTATTTTTTTTAATTCATTAATGCAGAAAATTAAAAAATCAGTGGAGTGTCCCTTACAGCTCAATCTGCTTAAAGGGAAGTTCTACCAATAAAAAAAATCTGCAAAAGTAAATGTTCAAGATGTAGACAAACTCATGGAGTGGTTTGATGTGAAATGCTCCATTTCTCTATTCTCCGTTTTACCGAGTCAGAACTGTTCACAGTGCTGGTGATAGGAACCAGATGTCTGAAGAGTTTAATGCTTCTAAGAGCTCCCTCGCAGAACATTATTACATTTGTATTATAAATGTGTTGCCTGATACCTGAGACACTGGTTTACAGTCATTTTGCTCTAATATTTTGTCCTATTGTTTAGCAGAGGGATACATGCAGGGTGTTGTAAGCAAAAATACTACCCAGAGAAAACCTATATAACCACTATGTTTTCAGTATTGGCATTACATATAAAAATGCAGATGTATGTAGGTTCACTGGTGGGTAGCAAATAAAATGGCTATATCTGTGTTGTAGACATTGTGATCCCTGGTTTCCATCACCACCACTGTAAAGAAATCTCTACAGAGTCTCAACAGTGAACCATTTCACACCAAACCACTCTGAATGACTTTGTTTACATGCCAGTTACTGACATTTTGAAAAGCTGGTGGAATTCCCCTTTAAGGTGGTAGTAAGAATGCAAGTTAGATGATGATGATTATTATTATTATTATTATTATTATTATTATGATTAGTACTGCTACTACTATACGAAACAGAATGCACATGCATATTCTAGGTAAAAGTATAACAAATCCAGGTTCATATAAAAATGAATGGATAAAAAACAGATTGTTGCTCTTTCTTACTGTGAGCAGATCCAGCAGTGGGAGCAGAACCTGGAGAAGTTTAACATGGAGCTTTTCCGAATGCGCTGTTATCTGGCCAGCCTGCAGGGCAGCGAGCCGCCCAACCCAAAGAGCCTGCTGGCTGCTGCCGGACGCCCATCCAAGATGGCTCTCAGCCGTTTGGGAATATTCTCTGTCTCATCTTTCCATGCCCTGGTGAATAGTGACCACCACTTTCTCATTTTTTTATTAATAACAACCACCACTCACTTATTAGACTAAAGTGACTTATAAACAACAGCAGGCCTAATTAAGAGAGAGACCACTGTTAAGCGTAGCAAGTCGGAGATGTTCCCATGAAATGTAATTGGGCTCTAATATAATTTATCTCATATCTTTCTAAATCTGGCTGTTGAGGATGTTCTAAAAGTATGTAAAGTTGCATTATGTGTTTGTGTGTCTTTATAGATGTGCACTCGTGACGAGGCCACTCTGAAAAGACGTTCTCGCTGCCAGTCTCGAGGTGTTCGGAGTAAGCGGGGCATTTTCTCCTCTCAGAAAGGCCTGGACAGTCTGACCAGACGAAACCACGAAAAGAGACAGTCCCTGTCCCAGGTAGAGCTGAAAGTAGCATTAAAAACAGTAAGAAATTTTTAACCCAGAGCAGCAGTTAAAGGGCTTATGTCATGGAAAACTGACATTTTCCTTGTTTCTAACAAGATTTGTTGTAAACATTTTTCATGTTTCATCATTCACTTCACAGTCCACAAAGTCTATAGCTGCAAAAAACAGCTTTTAGTTCCTCATTATTGTGATGTCACACATGCACAAATGACTGTTTAGCTCCACTCACTCACCTTTAAGCGATAAAGATTGTCAAATTGTTCCTGCAGACTGGGTTTTGAAGGAAGCTCAGTACAAAGCAGTCAATCAAAACATTTCATTTACATATATTAGTTTCAAAGGTGCAGTAACAAAATTGTTTTTCTTAATTTCAATGGAAAAAGAGAGGTCAGAAAATGGTCCTGTAAAAATAAATTATGACTTTTTGGTGCATATAACCGCATTAAGATGATAAAAAATACAAGAGGAATATAAAATATGGGCCCTTTAATTACTGTTTTTAAACAAAATGGTCTACAAACATCCTGATGTTTCCCTATTACTTTGTGGCATCACTACTTTGCTACAGGCTGTGATGGAAAAATGCCTTTTTTTCTCATCACCTGTATAAACAGCTCTTAAAGTGGGCAATTGGCCCCCCCAATGCCAGTGGCACGTTTCTGAAGCCCCTCTGTTTGAAACGAAAGGTCTGGCTGATAAATCTGTTTGAAAACAGTGGTTCCTGGAATGTGCTTTAACGCTCTTTATAAGGCACGACCTACAAATTCCCTTGTTTTGCCCATAATGTTCTCATCTGGCTAACTGCTAAGCCATCGGTCATGTGTATTTGCTCGCATTACTTGTTAGCTACATTAGCCTCACAGCTCCAGTGTCAATTTTTTAGCCAATACATTGATTAAAGTCTTTATTGTTTTGTATCTAAAATGTTAACCTTTTTTTGGCCAACAAAAATGAGTCTATTTACAGAAATAAGATTTTAAAGATCTGAATTTTGCTCTAAATGAGCTTGTGCACTTGATTGGCAAAAACAAAAGATCATCCAACAATAAAGGCCGAGCTTCTTTTATACAGTGATAGGAAACATGATAGCTCACAGAAACCTCAAATTCCACATGCTGATCCATTTTACTTGACCAACGTGAAAATACACACTCGCCAAATACTCTGCAGCCAGATTTCATTGAAGTTAAAGGAGACAACGACAATGTCTCTGACTTTATCACCTGTGAGATTTGATTTGATAGAATTAAACACAATTACTGCAGGGCTGTCAGGTCAGGAAATACTATAACACCCCCCCCCGACCCCTTCACCCTCAAAGATATTACAAACTCTCACCACTTCACTCAACAGCACTCGTGCTGGAGCTCAAACAGCAGGAAAACACAAACGTGCTGTTCATTTCAGCTCAAAGCTCCAAATCCAGCAGCTCCAAATCCACACACGCATGATTCCTGCCTGACTCATGAGCAATTGGAGGCGATTGCTCAGCTTCTCCTGCCTGGTAATGACCCAGAGCAGCTTAATCTCAGCCAAACGACCCCTAATAATATGCGATCTACAATGGGGGGTTACCATGAGCCACATGTGGTTAATTGCTGCAAGATGGAGAGAAACAGAAGGTTTGTGTAAAACCATGCTGTCCACTTAGATATTAAACAGCTGGAAAAGACTGGGCTTCTGTCGTCTGAAGTCTGCCCGACTCTGGTCAGCAGTAGACATGGCTGTGGGGAATTCGGGTTGTGTGGGGGAGTGGTCCATGTGATTGCTTCCAGAAAGCTTTGATGACTTGGCTGAGGTGAGTTAGCATCAGTGACCCCCAGCAAGCAGTGAACTGGTCCAGATGCTGCACTGCTCAAACTTGCATGCTAATGGTAATCAGTGGTGAACTGTGACTAAGCCTTAAATACGTGCCATAAATGACCTTTACAATAATGCCAATTTCTGCTACCACCCCTATTGGATTCTAGTAGTTTGTTAGTGCTGAGCTGACACCAATTCAAGTGTACATCTTTTGGCCATTTTAGATTAACCCGTTAAACAGCCTGGGCCAACCAGCAGGCCCAAAGTTTTATTACACACTTCTATTAACTTAAGACTAGCTTAACCAGTTTGCACTGAAGTTACTGAATAATAAGCCTTAGTATGTAATTAGCCTGAGACTTTAAAGGGTTAAACACAGACATATGAAGCTTTTTAGAAGGTTGTAACAGACATTAACATATATTTTACCTTGTAAAGTGACTCTTTCACTAAAGAGCCCTCATAGAGCTGTTGCTGTTTTTTCCATTTCTAACAACTGACTGTAACACATGGGTTGAGCTAACAGTCATATTCACAGTCAGTGACCTATCTAGAACTTCCAGAAGGCCTAGAGTGAAATTTTTTCCTCACACACATGGTCCCACCCATTGTAAATCAAAACATAATTGGTTGATTCCACTGTCAGTTCCTAATTTAGTAATTAATCTGACACATTAGGCCTTCAGTTCAGCTCCTGAAGGCCTAACCTATGGGAGAGCTTGCTTGGATGTATCTACCTGGATACTACAGATATAAAGATTGGACAGTTCTCCATTGGGCATTTCAAAAACTGAACCCTTGTGTTTCCAACCAAAACCTAACAATAAAATATGATGTGATGTCAGCAATTATCATTTCAGGTGTGTAAACCACATTTATGCCAAAATAAATTTATTATGAGCTTTTAAAGCAAACACTCCAGACAAAATTAAAAATGTAACCGTTTCTACATCTGTAAATATGCCCTCTACAGTGTCTCTACAGTACGATTTATCAATTTAAAAACTAGGAAACACCCAACTAATGATGTATCTTGAAGTTCGGAGGAACAAGCATCTTGGGGTTGATACTTGAGGACGGCTGCTTACATTTTTTTTTTCACTAGCTGGTTAATGCAAGAAGGCAAATAGCTGATGTTATTGCTAGATTAGCTACTTATCAGGTCTGTATGTATTAGCCTCTACGTGGCCTATTCCTACCCATAGGCTTGTTCCCCGAGATGTATAAAGGACCACCACATCCTTTAGAACTGCCGCTAATGCAGCATCATTATACAGCTCAACACGTTTGGAGAACACTTAATTAGCTATGTCAGCTAACAGACCCCCGTGTTGGCTCTGAGTGGTGGTGGGAGAGGGAGGAATTACCCACTTATGCCAATTATGAACCCCTAATCTATGGATGGCTGTGTCATTGCTGGGATCGCGCTCCCAATCTTGAATATAGAGCCAATGTCTAGACTGTTATGACACTCAGGAGCCCCCTACCCCCCCGCCAGGCAGTGTAGATGCTGGTGTGATCTGTGTGGTCAGTCTGCCGGAGGTGCTGTGGAGGATCATTGAGGACAGACGGGCGTCTGGGTGAGGGAGACAGTGGCTCATGCTGATGAAGGCTGCTGCATTAGGCTACCCACACTGAGCTGTAATTACAGTATCATTCGGAGCTTTGATTATTTCCTTCCAAACCTCAGAAGTCTCTATTCCGATCTGGGGAAAAAAAATTGTATCAAAGCTGCTGAGTCAGATGTATAGTTTCTAATTAGGTGCAAAGATAGAAACTGTGCAGCGTGTTTTGGGTATGGATGATTCCCTGGACATATACTGATGTGTTTGTTTGTGTTTGTGTCTTTTTCATGTTGCAGATATTTGAAGGACATCCCCCTGCAACTCTCTGTCATCCAGCAATGCAGAGCGGCTCTGAGGTACTACGCACATCAGCCTAGAGCTTATTGGTCAGGCACACTCACAAATATGAGGACCTTGTCTTGATGAAGTGCTTATGTAACTGGACAACACAAAATACAAACATTAAATAAAGAAATCATCACATCTTAAAAGGTCATATTAAAACATTCTGTCTTACATTTCATTATTAAGCGACCAGTAGAAATGGCCCTAAACTACATACGTTAAGCCCTTTGTTCTGCCTGTTTTTTTGAGTAGGTCCCTCAGTTGAACTAGACATTTTTTCCTTCAATAACACTGGTGGAATATATTTTGATGGAATGATTTTTAAAATCGGAAATCAACTGTATTTTTGTCCTTGTAGTTGAGGAAGCAAGTCAGCATTTCTAAAAAGTATTTTTATTGTCTTTTTTATTGCCTTATTTATGTGGCATTTGTACATGATTTTTAGGATGAAGAAAGCTGCAGTTGTCTGTTTTATCTCAGCATAGCTGTCTTTGTAGAGAGGTGTGAACAGTTTTCAAAGCAGGGGGTTCTCACCCCTCCTTCACCCCATTGCTCACTAGCAGCTTAACACAGTCACAACATAGGGTCCTAGTTAATCTTATAACAGAGTTACAGTAAAAAATATATAAATTAAAAATAGCTGAGTTGATTTCCATTCTGCTGCTGAAATTGCCTTTAGGAGGCCTGCAGAAACAGACTTCAATAAAGCACTTTTTCCCTTTCCTGTAAAGTATTAAAATACAGAAATACAAGGTTCTGTTATGACATTGACAAATATAAAAATAATGTACTGTTACTATAAAAATAGCATTTAACACATTAAAAACAGTTTTATAAATGTAGGCGTGCTTGCTCACCTACATTTTGTACATCATACATAATTTCATCTAAACATTCAAAGTTATCAAAGAAAAAATGGATACTGCGGAAATAGTTTTTTATGGCTACTGTGAAAATGGGTTAAAGTCAATGTAAAAGGGAAATCACAACACATTTTCCTTCATACTGTGACATATTGGTGAGTGAAAAGTGGTATCAGGAAAGGTCTCTGAGTGAGCTAACCATTTTCTCTTCATGAGGTGAAACAGGATATTATTGGTTAACTATTATGTTTTCCTGCCCACTGGTACACGATGACATAATGAAAAATCAGAAGTGGACGAAAGTCACTATGTTTTGGTGGACGATTATGGGAAAAACAAGAATTTTGTCTTTTATCCCCTTAAAATCCCAAACGTATTACATACTAAGGCTTATTATTCAGTAACTACAGTGACTTTAGCACAAACTGACTGAGCTACTCTTAGGTTATAGAAGTGTGTAATAAAAAGGGGTTAAATGACATGAAATGATAAATTTTGCCTAATATAACCAGACAAAGTAAAAAGAGGTAGTTTTGGTTTCATTTTGATTTTAACGGTGTGAATTGTGCTCTAAAGTATGCATGGATTGCTCAAAACCTGAAGAACTCCATCCAAAACCAACAGCAGCAAGCAGAGGCAGCAATGTGGAGCTGCAAGATTATCACTACGTCCCTTTGACACATTTGATACTTACTTAAACCAGTGTAAGGCACTTTGCACAAAACTACTACACAATTAAAGAAGACGGTTCTTGAAGTGTTTTTTTAGTAAAGGCAATGGTTATATTTAAAACCATGAGTCCTATATAGAACCATGCAAAGAAACATTTAAGCATTATATATTTATATATACCAATATTGGTGCAAATGTGCTTTGCGACATGTTCACTTACTCCTGTCTAGCTCAGCAGGTGCCCCTCAGAAACTTTCTCCACCAAATGGAGCCAAGTTTTCCCAGTGTCTGTTTTTAAAGCCCCATGCTGTGCCGCATCCAGGTGCCAGCGGCATTGTTGGACAGGAGCTTTCTCACCCTCTTTAATCCCTTGAAGGAGAGAAGGAGAGTGGGTTTCTGAGGGTGGGGGGTGGGGTCTCTGTTCTCTGGAGACTGGGCTTGCACAGCTGTCCCAACAGCCTGCTGCTCTGTTGACACTACGCTTTGTAAACAGGCCGACGGCATGTGAAGAGCCCTCTATGGGTGGGAGGGGCTTCATTTCATCACAGCGTCTATTGTCCGTGAACTCTGACCTTAATGAGGTGTTGCTATGGGGAGTAAACTATATTAGCATAATTTGTTGCTAAAAATCTTTATAACTTTTATAACTTAGGAATAGCTCAGCCTGTTTCCAATGTGGTTACTGAATAATAAGCCTTAGGCTGTAATATTCCTGGGAATTTAAGAGGTTAATTTTGGATATTGCAAGACATAACTGCCCATCAGAGGGACACTTAGCTTTTAAAACACATTTTAATAAAATTGAGCATGTATTCTTGGTCGATTTTGCAGTAGTTTAACTAGAAATCTGTTCAGAAAACTGCAAAACTGAAGAAACAGCCAATAAAAGCCCCACATTGTAAATAGACCAAAAGGCTTTATTGTGATTTTAGCACTCATCAGCATTTAAACCTAAACCACCTTTGGGCCAAATAAGTGTCAGTATGTGCTTCCTAATAATAGATAGAGAAAGAAAACTGTCAAATTATTTAGACAAAACCTGCTCTTCATACCAAGGAAGACACTTTGATGAACATGAAGCTGAAGCTAAATATACCCAATAGATTAATGCATTCACTTCTAAAAAATGGTGAACAATTCCATAGAGGAACCACTTTTGGTCTCCCAAAGAACGATGTTTGAAAAAGAGATTTGTAAGTGTGAAGAACCTTTTAAAGGTTTAAAGAACCCTAACATGATGTAAAGTTTCTATACCACCAATTTAAAGGTTCTTCCAAGATCCTGTACATTACATGGAGGTTCTTTAATCTTAAAAAGGCTCTTCACACTGATACATAAAAAATTCACACAAAAATGGTCCTCCAAAGAACTGTCTATTGCAAAGTTTTTAGAGAGCCAACAGAGGTTCTCAACTGTAGCTGTTTTATGCTAACAGAAATTATAACTATTAATTGTAATAAGGGATGCGTGAGGGTATCAAAATCATATCAGTATGAGAGATAATATCTTGGGAGAACAGAATGTTTAGGTGACACTAGATTACTTTGCTAGAATATCTGTATTTTATTAATTTTACTGCCTTCGTAACACTAGAAATAAATGTTATGTTCCGTATTACTAATCTTGGTGGATGAATCATCAGCATCACAATTGGCAGATATGTACACAACAAATACTGGATATTGGCATCGGCCCACGATTCCCATGTTGGAGCATCCCTAACTGTAATAAAAATGTAGTAATGAAAATCAGACATTACTTGGAAAAAACTTTAAATTATGCTGCCAACAAAGAGCTATTAATGCATAGCACATGATCATTATGACATCAGTGAACATTCTCCATTTGTCCTTGTCTCATATTACATTTCCAGCAGAGACTAGATGGTTTGGCCAAACTGCATTCCACAGCACCCCCTGAAGGACATTCCTGGGACTGTCCTGTTGAGACCTTGATGTTGGTGTCCATGCCTGATGGCCAGGCCGACAGTGTTCCTGTGAAGCAGGATTTCCTGGTGGCTGACCTGCTCTGCTTGGCCTGCAAGGTAACTCCTGGCTCTTGCATAACTTACAAGCTTCAGGAAACTTCTAAAGGACATTTCACTGCTGTTGATGCAGCACTTTTTCCACTGCCTGCTTTCCCAGTCTCCTGCGGTTACCATGGCCTTGATGAAAGCAGAGGAAGTGAGGGACTGAACTAGCTTAAAGCTATTCCAGCTTCTGCATTAATTGCCTCAGTTTTTTTCAATAATTAACATATCCTGTTTGAAGCTCTTCCTCTCAAAGCCAAATATAGTAAAATCCCCCGTCTTACCCTAAATGTAGTCGCTCAGCCGAAAGATGTCCTGCGTCTGAAGTTTACTATCGCTTCTTTAGTTTTGCACTAGAGCTACGAGGCTAATGTAGCTAACAAGTAATAGAAGTTTATTGCTACCAAGCCAACATTGTGCAAAATGCATGCCTAAATGATCACAAACTTCCTCAAATGTCTTGGCTGATCGACTATATTTGGGGTAAATGAGAAATTGTGTACATTTCAAAATTATCCAAACTGTTCCTCTAAAAAGTCCAGAACACTGGCTAATCCTGGACCCTGTCTGGCTGTGTGGTGTTGCAGGGGAGACAGTTGGACCCAGTGTTCCATTGCTTACGTGTGAAGAGGCATTTGGGTCAGGACATGGAGTCCTTCACACCAGCTTCCACTGATCTACTGAGAGAGCTAGTAAGACCTCAACGCCAGTGGACTCTACTGTGTTCTCTTTTGCACACACACACACACACACACACACACACACACAAACACATATACACACTGTATATCATATACAGTACTGTTCAGTCAGAGACCATGCTTTTATTTAATTTCTAGTCAAAATGGCCATCAATAACAAGTTAGTCATTTTTCAGCATCAGGAAAAAGAGCAGAAGGCATACATTTGTATGCAAATTTCAAATTAAATGTTTTGTTGATTTTCTAAGTATAAATAAGTTAACACAACCTCTACAGAGAACACACTTAAATATGGCTATTTCTACAAATTTTAGTGCACAATGTTTATTTATTTAGAGGTTAAGAAATTGGAAAAAAATAAAACATAAAATATAAAATATGCCATAAATTTTACACAGGTGCATATGTCAACTTTAGCAAATAAACAGAAATTGTGTATTAAAATGTGCAGAAGTGTGTTCTCAAACGTATGTGCACGACTGTATATTTAACAGAAAATTACACAAAAGCCTCAATAAGTAAACGCGATACTAATTTTTCAGTATTTAATGTCCACACTTTTGTTACAGCTTCTATTCTTTTCAGGAAACTCACTTTAGTTTTAGTTTTTAAATAAATCTGCAGGGATATTTTTCCAACTTCAGTCTTAGAAGTTGATTGCATTTTCAGCTCTTCATGATTCAAGTAATCTAACACATTCAGTGATGTTGAGGTCTGGACTCTGGGGTGGACAATCCATTGTTCTAAGAGTTTTATATACATTCTACTCAAGTATTTTCTAAGTATTTTATAAATATTTTGTAAGTATTCTGTATTGTAAAGTGTAACATAAATGAGTGAGACCAGTTAGATAATATTTCATTCTGAAGCTCAGGTATAAAGTTGAATCGAATGTTATGTATGTGACTCCATTCTGTGCTTTGTTTTTCATTCAGGTGTTTGATGAACTCGAGGTTTGTCCTCTTAATGTGTTCACCTTAAACATGTCACGTCCTAACACAGCTATGGATTTTGGTGAGTTGCAGCACATGGAGTGGCATATATGTAGCGTATTTATGGCATATGACATTTTCTGGATACACAATATGCATGAAGATATTTCGTTTTTCTGAGGTTTGATAAGTTTGAGCAGAGTACCAGTGGTGCCACATTTAAAAGTACTGTCAAAAAAAATGTATATGTGATTTTTGTTTGTGCACTAATGTACACTAAATCCATTCAGACAGGACTAATGACATTCACAGTTGGTCAGTGTTGTTCAAGTACTGATGATATCCACGATATACTCAGAAAAGCACATCATTTATCACATTAACAACAAATATCAACATACTGCTCATTCCTGTGTACGATCTTTAATAAGAATTTACCATTAACTCTTAGAAGTTATTTATTGTCATTTTGTTAAATATTTCATTTGCATTATGTAGTTAATTAAATGTTATTACATAATAAATATAAATAGTCAGTTGCCCTAATTAATTAGTACATTTGTTTCTAATTTATTTTGAGTAAATATGTAAATAGTTGGTTTTCATTCAGCAAAGCAAGATTGTTCTCACAACTTTTCAACAAATTCAAATCATAATGAAGCATCTGCTCTCCTGCTTACGGACACAAACATTGTATGGACTGAAATTTCAGCAGTTTAACAGACTTTCTCTGCTTATTTCAATGAGCTACAAGGTTTGGCGCCCCTGGTCAAATGATGGTTTGTTTTCTAAGTGAAAATAAATGGACACATCCTCTACAGAGACCACACTTCTGCACATTTTAATGCACAATTGCTGTTTATTTGCTGAATTAATCATAGTAGACAAAATATTAAACATAAAATGTGGTTTGTGTGAAAGTTATTTTTGCTGTATTAAACAATAAATGAACAGAAATTATCTACTAAATTTTGTTGAAAAATACTATATCCAAGTTTATTCCCTGTAGAGGTTGTATTAATGTATTTTCATGTAGAAAAACAAAAATGTACATGTAGTTTGACTGTGGGTGTTCAAACATTTGCATATGACTGAGACATTTTGTTGAGAAACAAACAAAATGTAAAATGTGTTTCAAAGTGTAAATGCAATGGGGACCAAGGAAAAGATTCAGATGCTCCAGTACTGGAGGTTCACACAGTAAAAAACGTCAGTTTGTTCTGCTTCTCTTGCGAAAGAAGTGGTGAATCCCACTCTGTCTCTTCCTTATCTCTGTATTATTGGACGTATATCTGCAGGGTTCGCAGTAACGGGACATGTGGACGGCTTAAGGCGAAGCCACATCTACGTTAGTGAGGTGCATCCAGAAGGCCTGGCGTTCACTGAAGGTAATTCATCTCTACAGTCTGACCTGTGGTTGCAGTACTAAATTTACAATCTCTACGAGTGGATGATGTATTATGTGATAATATCCACCAGATTATATTGATGTGATGAATTTAGTGTGAGGTTTGATCCAGCCAGTAACTTTGGGTTCAGAGGTCAGAAAAAGCAAGAAATAAGAATGTGGTTCTTCAATGTGCCTCTTTCCTTAACTTCTAAACTCGACACCAGGGGGCTAATACAAACAGCCTGCTCAATTCTAAGCGATAAAAGGATTAAAATGGTCATGAAAACATGATTTTTGTCTCTTTTTGTTATGTAAACCCACACAAACTGTATAAGTGAACTTGAAATACAGTAACAGTGAAGGATATGGGTTCCTTACAGTCTGTTTAAAGTGAAAGCTGTAGTGAATGGTGCTCCTGCTGTTTGATGAAGTGTGCTATGTGGTGGCGTTTGCTGTGTGCAGGGCTCAGGGCTGGAGATGAGATCCTGGCTGTGAATGGTGCGAGTGTGTCCACTCTAGATCTGGGCCTCATACACACCTTCTTCAGCCAGAACACTCTTCGGTTGGTCCTGCGGCGTGAGGAACCCCTATCAGACGATCAGGGCAGCTCATGGCCCGAGTGTGACCCTGCTGACCCCTACTGCCCTCCTCCACCCCCCAACCACGCACAGCTGGGTTCCTCAGGTACAACGTCAGAGGCTTCAAAGGCTTCAAATGTCCATTCTGTCATCAGGAGAACCATTTATATCTATAGTGTATACACTTATTCTAGTGTTGAAAAGTTTGGACTCACTTGTCATTTAATAATTCGTAGTCTACAGTGTAGACTGAAATGGTATAAATTAGACACTAAAATGTAAACTGGTTTGTTTATGATGTAAAGTATTTTGGGAACAACAAGGAGCTAAAATAAAAACAAAGAGTAAATGTTATTAAATAATAGACTGTTATTAAAACAGATTTTCTTGGTAAAATTCTGTGCACAATTTCTGTTTATTTGCTTTTTAAAATATTGGAAAAAGCCATAAAATTTAAAATGTGCCATAACCTTTTCACAGGCCACATTTTATATTTTATATTTTTTCCAATAGTTAAATTCAGCAAATAAACATTGACTGTGCATTAAAATATACAGAAGTGTGTTCTCTGTAGAGGAGAATCAACAAAACATGTCATTTGTCCAGGGCGCCCAAACTTTTGCATACGACTGTATTTGATCAGTAAGACTTGGTCAGCAAATATCAAATATGAGACATTTAAAATATTAATTTTATTATAACTATATTCTTGATGTTGCACAGCTTTATTATGAAATCTTTCACGGCTCCATTCATCTTAAAATGTCTCCTTTTTTACAGCTTCCTGCAATAAAAAGTATAGAATATCAGCATATATTTTAAAACATATTGAGAATTGGTTTTATATTATTGAAAATAGTGATTCCAAACTTTTGAACAGTAGTGTTTATTATAAAGATGCAAAAGACAGGTGGGTTGGCTGGTGTTTTTGGATAGTAAACAAAATGGTTACATTGTGACATTGTGACCCCTGGTTTCTGTCACCACCACTGTAAAGAAATCTGACTCTATGAGGTTTGTTTACATCTCAGTGATTGAATTATACAGTATTTAGAAAGCAAATCTTTTTTCCTTTTAGGGTCAATTAGGCACAAATGAACAGTCATTTTAACAGTGGGGTTTTTGCAGACATTCTAATTTTGTCTTATTTAAAGTGCCAGCAAACTAAACTGGACTCTGCGCTTTACTCAGAGACATGCAGGTTTCTGTCTTGGAGTAGTGCCAGGGTTTGTGGAGAGAGAAAACAGGCTGAATGAATTGCCTCTGCATCCAAGACCATTAGTGAAATCGGATCAGTGCTGGTTTACACCAGACAAGTACACTTAGTGTCCAGCTGCCACGCCAGGGGCCTTCTAAACTGTCTCTAACGGCTATCTCTATCGGTTTCTCCCAGCCTCACTTAATCAAATGAACCCGACTAAACTCTAAGGGCTGCCTCCCCAAACCCAGATTAAGCCTAAACCTGGACTAAAAAAAGATTTTCGGTGCTTGGCATTGCAATTTATTTGCATAACATAAGTTAAATATTAAGTACTCAACAACAACTTACAACTCACCAATAGGAGAATAGAAGGTTTATTTATTATTTCATATGCATACGGTAGATAGTAACAATACTACTATTACTGAGAAAGCTCCCAGAACACACCCTGTGATTCATACTGGATTAAAGTCACATCACGGTTATTACTGTCAGACTGTAAAACTACACACACTGCAGATTCATACTGGATTAAAATCACTCCACAATTATTACTGTCAGACTGTAAAACTACACACACTGCAGATTCATACTGGATTAAAATCACTCCACAATTATTACCGTCAGACTGTAAAACTACACACACTGCAGATTCATACTGGATTAAAATCACTCCACAATTATTACTGTCAGACTGTAAAACTACACACACTGCAGATTCATACTGGATTAAAATCACTCCACAATTATTACTGTCAGACTGTAAAACTACACACACTGCAGATTCATACTGGATTAAAATCACTCCACAATTATTACCGTCAGACTGTAAAACTACACACACTGCAGATTCATACTGGATTAATATCACTCCACAATTATTACTGTCAGACTGTAAAACTACACACACTGCAGATTCATACTGGATCAAAAAAAACATTTCTAACTGATCTTTTGTGAATCATTTAAATAAATGAATGAATAAAAGCGTTAAAATTAATAACTGAAAAATAATCCTGCAGTTTTTTTCCACCGTTGTTTTCTCCCTCTCAGACATGTGTCAGTTCCTGGAGGTTCCAGGAGATTCGGTGGTGCCTCTTTCTGAGGAGGTGCGTGACAAGGCTGAGGGCCGCAGAAAGGTAAGCTGGAGGAGTGTGAGGCAGGGCTGAGGGTTATCTCTGTGCTGGGAGGGGTTGTGGGGAGGGAGTGTGAGATGTTGGAGGTGAGTGCTGAAAGCATGCCTGGTGAAGGCTGGATTACTCTGAGTGTCAGAAGGTGAGAGGGACGGTGAAGCAGGCCAAGAGAAATTCCATAGCTCTTACTGTACGTTTGGCACTGTCAGATGCAGAGTTTGCCTTAATTCACATTTGACGAAGCTTCAGGCCAGAAACATACAAACACATACATAAGCAACAGACTGCTAACAGACTGCAAGTGCATGGGTTTATCATTTCCATACTCTACTGTTCAAAAGTGTCAATGGTTTCAATAATATAAGACCATTTTGTTTGCAGATAAACATATAAAATGACTCTAAAATGCTCGTCCTGTACAAGTACACAGCTTTCATGTAATTAGTAGGACACTACAGAGCTGTAAATAAAAATAAAAAAACGTTAGATGATGCAAAATGATGAACAGAGCTGTAGAAGACTCTAAAATGACGGAGCTGAATAGCCCTGAAAATGAAACTAATTCAAATTTTTATTCCAAAAGTGGAGATCAAATCTTCAGGCAGATAACATGACAAAATTTTGTATAAATAAATGTTATTTATCATTTATCAGTATTTAAATACACATTGTATGAGTCTTTACACTGAAAAACTGGTGCACTGAATTTACACGGTTCAAATGTGACAGTCATCGCACCTGAATAAAATATGTTACACCAACACAAGAAACTCAAATATAGCAGTTGTGCTGATGTAACATTTTTTTGTGAGCAACCACTTGACACATTTTAATCATGAGCCTTTTCCAGTGTATTATTCATAAAATAGTAAGAATACTAATACTGCTAGAATTGCTAATGATTCCAAACTTTTGAATGAAAAGTGGAAGAGGGCAGACTTTCATTTGAAATGTTTTTGAGGATTAAAATTATGTAAAATATTGCTTTTGTTGATCTAAACTTGCTTTGAACTGGTCAGACTATTTACTTGAGTCAAATATAAACAGTTAAATTGCTTGAAGTTAAAGTTACATTAAGTGTTTTTTTAAGCTGAGCTGGTGAACCGTTTTTACACTGCTGTGTCAGTAAAAAGGTATTGTACGGGTACATTGTTGTTCACCAATGTATAAACAATGTACATGTATTCTGTAATAAGTGTACTCTAAAAGCTACAGCATTGGTCTTACGGTGCAAAAATGTTCTTTAAATATGTTTTAAAGGTTCACTGTATTTGCTTTCCAAGAAGAAAAGGACAAATAAATAAAGTGAAAATAAGTTAATACATCCTCCACAGAGAACGCACTGGTGTACTGTTTAATGCACGATTGCTGTTTGTTTGCTGAATTTAACATAAAACATAAAAAAAATAAAACATAAAATGTGGCTGGTGCAAAAGTTATCACACATTTTATATTATTTTGTACAATCATGTCCCCTAACTAAAGAGTGTGCATATATTACATAACACAATCACTACCAAAAGTAAGTAAACTGATTGATAAAGCCGAGTTGACGTGACATGTTTTATTCATTTGGAAATTATATCCACGTTTTAAGCCAAATAAATTTAATGCATCACTTTCTTTCAGGGTACTCCTCTGGGCCTGTGTATATGTCTTGTGTCTCTGTGAACTTTAGCCTCTTGCATGTGTTTTATTATGACCTTTTCTCTTTGTCTTTATGACCTCTTCCGCCTCCACGTTCGTGAATATGATGCTTAAGAAAAACGCTACATAATTTTCTCTTTTTTTTCTTTGTAATAGTCTATAATTAAAGAGTCGGCCCTGAAAAGATCACATTGCAGAATGATTTACTGCAGATAGTACAATGACCTACACAGACACATCTGTATGTGAAACTAGCCATTCCTGGCTTCATTTTGATTATACTGTTCACCTAACCAAGCTATTTTAACTTGTAATGATTTTCATTTTACTCTAATTTGATATATTTTCCACAATTTTCTACCTTTTTTGTTTTTTTTTCTCATTCTTTTATTGTGGTAGAGCAGCTCTACAGCACAGTACAGAGTCCTCTCTGGGGAATTTATCAATGTGTCAGCACTTTATTACTCTCTGGCAGGACAGATTATGATGACAAATGGCTGGAATTCTGTTTGAGACGCTGCAGTTTACACGCTGCGCTGAAGGTGGACCGCGTGTGTCTCTGAGATAAAGCTCCAGAAGCTCATTCTCATTCACTGGACCTTCAGCTCTGCTGCCATACAGTGTTGTTTTTTCTCGGACTACACTTGTTTATATAAGCTAATAGCTGAAAACAGCAGTAGCAGCCATGTTAAAGGCTGAATTTGTCTACATTTTGTTAGTTTTCACAGATGTATAACAGTAAGGTGTCTTGGGTCCACACAGTTTTGGTAATGTAATAATAATTCATGGTGTCAACATATTCAGATGTTGTATCCGTGCTGAATTTTAAAGGTGCTGATGAAAGGGGTCAGTGTGCTCCAGATCTGTAAAAGACTCTGTATGACAGTAGATGTTCCTCCTTCTGTTCTTCAGAGTGTGGAGACAACGTGCACAATGTACCAGCCCTTCCCAGAAGATCCAGGCCTGTCTGTGGATGGCTATAGAAACCCGTACTCCACCGACAGCGGCCCTGCTAGGGGCAGCCCGCGACACATGTCCGTCACAGAGAGACTGCGCAAGGTCATTCAGGAGCTGGTTGACACAGAGAAGTCGTACGTGAAGGTATGATGTCAGATCATGCTTGGCTGCTCAACACAAGGCCTGCATTCATTTATCTCCCTTCTTGTTTTCCTTATGACCTTCATATTGCTTCTGGCTTATTATATGGATATATAAAATGAATGATATATGGTGTATGGATCATTCTACCGAACTGGTTCAAAGTCAGAGTTGAAAGTCATTTTGTCACTGACAATCATAACATTACAGAAACTTTACCAAATGTTTCGGTAGTAAAAAATGTTAGCTAATTTTGAGTGGAACTCAAAAAACACTAGCCAGTACATATCTGCACACAAAAAGGTTTACTTAATTGCAGAAACATATGTTTCGGTTGTGACAATTCTTAATGTTCCACACTGATTTTCAGACTTTGGGACATACCTTAAAACAATGGGCTCTAACTGCTCACCATGTGGCCACAGAGACACAGTCTCACTTCCTGCTCTAAAATGCAGGGGTGTGGCTAAAATAAGGCTCCACCTATGGACTACAACTCTGTGAAATCTCTCTAAAACTTATTTATTTTAATAATTATCTTTGTCTGACAACAGTATACGGATAAAAGAGAGACAAAAACAGTATTTACAGATTTATCTTTAAATCTTACTGTGTTGTGATGATATTTTCGGTCACTTAAATTGGCAAATGTTATTAAAATCTATTTTAAATAATTTAAATAATGAATGTTTATTTTTACATCATTGTATATGCAAAAAATATTTAATCACTTAAAATTTTTCAAGTTGGGTGCTGTCGTGTCATTTTTGTGAGAACTTTTTGGGATATCAGTATGGAAAAAATCAATATTAGGATGGCAATTAACATACTGTGCAGTGTTATTGGACATGCAACTCGACTGTACAGCTTGACTTTACAGCAATGGCCAGTGGCCCTACGGCTAATTAATTGACATGTGGCATAATTGTAGCTAAAAATCTTGTGTGCTTACTGTACAGAGTGTTTTCATACACAGTGTATACAATGTACATCTCTGTCTGTGTTGTGTTTAAGGACCTAGGTTGTCTGTTTGAAATCTATCTGAAGCCTTTAGAGAGACAGACGTTCCTCAGCCATGGAGAGGTGAGTAACAGCTGCCCTACTAAGCCCCAGAGAGCACTTAGACACAGATAAATAAACGAAGACCTTGAGTTTTATCAGCTTCAGCTGCAGTTTTCTGCTCTTCCCACTAGATGGAGTCTCTGTTCGGCAGTCTGCCAGAGATGCTGGACTTCCAGAGGATTTTCCTGCAGACGCTGGAGGAGAGAACCACCTCATCTCCAGACTTCAGGACACTGGAGACACCAGAGCAGCTTAGGGTAATCCAGAGTATAAACCTTCATAAGTTGCATATTTACCTACACATAATCACTTAATCACAGGGGGGAGGAAAGGGGCACAGTGGACCTCCTACTGACTAGAGCTTGAATTCCTTTATCATGTTAAAATTACAGTGATGTCCCACTTCTCTATTTTAGCTGAGAGAATGGGGTGAGTATGGGGGAAATTATGTAGTACGACTATTATGCTAAAACACTGGCTGCTATAGTTGTTATTGGAGTAGAATAGATAAGGGACAGTAAGACAGTATTCATCATTATTGCAATAAATTACATAACATTATGTCAGAATATGCTTTTATAGCCATATCATGGATATCATCAGTACTTAAATGAAACATTTTCATAATTGCTGTGTTAATAGGAACCACATGTTTGAAAGAGTAGTATCTCTAAACAAAAATGTAAAATGTATTTTTAAAATATATTAATCGCAGAGAGGTACATCTAGGTTCACTGGTGGTTTTGGAACGTAAATAAAATGGCTGTATTTGTGTTGTAGACGTTGTGACCCCTGGTTTTGAAAAATTGGTACAATCAACTACATATTCCATTACATAGAGAGCATAATTAGTCCTGTTTAACTGGATTTAGTGCAGGGCAGTGGGAAAAACACTGAACAAAAAATCATTATATTCCTAAATTTTGGGCTTTTAGGCTTATTATTCAGTAATAACGTTACCTACAGTGCAAACTGGCTGAGTTGTTCTTAGGTTATAGAAGTAAGGAATAAAAGTTAGGACCTGGCAGCAGCTCTTGGTCATTTAAATGTTAAATGGGGCACTGTTGGTTTTTTTTGTATGTTCCAACTTCACAGCTCGGAAAAACAAAATAATCATATTGTGTTTGCCTACATATATATACTTAACTTTAATGTGATGTCTTATATGTTTTTGTTTTCTTAAATACAGAAACTGCTTTTCTCTCTGGGTGGATCCTTCCTGTACTACGCGGACCACTTTAAGCTCTACAGTGGCTTCTGTGCCAACCACATCAAAGTCCAGAAAGTTCTAGAACGAGGTAAACATAATCATAATCATCTTTATTGATACGTTCATTCCAGTTCCAGCCGGTTGGTTCACACATGTGAATCATATGAGAACAAAAGATGCTTCCATCAGAAATTCCATCGTTGTTCTCGTTTCACTTTTTTGTTCCTGTGTCCACCTTTGCAGCAAAGACAGACCGGGCATTCAAAGAGTTCTTGGAGGCGAGGAACCCCACCAAACAGCACTCGTCCACGCTGGAGTCCTACCTCATCAAGCCTGTACAGAGAGTGCTCAAATACCCTCTGCTGCTGAAAGAGCTGGTGTCCCTGACTGACCCCAACAGTGAGGAGCACAGACATCTCACAGGTGACACATCTGACACATCACACTGTCTAAACCATTTAAACAGCAAGAGTCACCAGCAAATCTTGCTCTTTCCTGTGTGTATGTAGTAATGCATAGGCTTGGATACAAGTCAGTTTCACAGTTGAAACATGACTTATTTCCATTGTGCCTAACATGCCAACTCTTCCATCCTGTTGCAGAAGCATTGAGGGCAATGGAGAAGGTGGCCAGCCACATCAATGAGATGCAGAAAATCTATGAAGACTACGGCACTGTGTTTGACCAGCTGGTGGCAGAGCAGAGCAGTACAGAGAAAGAGGTGTGTATAATCAGAATTAGCATAAGAGCTGTTTTTTTGACAAAGTAATGTATCACTTCCAAGGAATTAATATCATTTATGCATTTGTGAAATGCTGTGAAATAATTGATAACATAATTAAATGCTAACTAAAACAGAAAGCAGTCATTCGGAAATTCTGTTTGATCTATATCAGGAGTCGGCAAACCAAATGTTAAGAAGAGCTGTTTTGTCCTTTCAACAAAAATCAAACCACCATGGAGCCACAACATTTTATATCCATTTTACCTTCTTGGCTGCAAATATGTCTCAGTATGTGCTAATGTACTAGTATAGACTAAACATAAAATATCAACGAAAACGCAGACTTTGCTCTGCTTTAAGCTCTATCCCAACTATAGCTGCTTTTCTCCAGCAGGAAACTTTTCCTCAAAAGTGGAATATTTTCCTGTAAAATGTGAGGCTGAAGTCAGCTTCTCATTCACCAGCTTCTTGTTTGAATTTCCTGTTCCACCTTAAATGGTGACAAAGGCGTCAGAATGTAACTGCTGCGCCATTTAAGGTGGAACAGGAGAATTCGAACAAGAAGCTGGTGAAAGAGAAGCGACTTCAGCTTCATGACTTTTTAGTGTTTGACAGTTTCTTGTTGCAGATTAAATCGCTTTGCCTTTTTGTTAGCTACTGGCTAGGTGAGACTGTTATCTGTATTGCTATAGTGACCAGCAGTCTGCGCACCAACCTTCAGGGTTAAAGGATGAATTAGCAGTTCTACATTAACTCCAGCGTTTAAGACCATTTATTGACAAAACTGTGTTAGAACAATCAGCAGACCTTTATTTTACTGCAAAGGAGGATTCTTTTATTTTTACCCTTAAAATCTATATGTAAACCGCATCAGGGCAGTAAAAGCCACATGTTGCCGACGCCTGAACTATATTAAACTGAAAACAGTACAAAACATGATATTTGATGTTTTACTTTATGAACTGTACTGTTGTTTCATGAATACACGCTCATCCTGAATTTGCAGCACGTTCCAAAAAAGTTGGGACAGGCGCATGTTAGCCACTGTGTTCCATCACCCTTTCTTTTAACAACACTTTATAATCATTTGGGGACTGAAGAATTAATCCATTTTTGAAATCAGAATTTTCTGCAATTCTTCAGTATTCACTTCAGTCTTCATTGAGCCTGTCGTAACCCCTTAAATGTTTTAGTTTAAACACATGTCAAAGTGAATTTACAAATCACTGTTTTCATTTGCATTTCAAAACTGTGAACATGTGAAATATTGCACAATGAATGAGCGATGGTTGGGATAAAAGCACAGATAAAGCGTTAACAGAAAGATAAATGACTGTAATGTGTGTCTCTCAGGTGACAGAGATTTCAATGGGAGAGTTCATCATCCACAGGTCTGCGCTCTGGCTGAACCCCATGCCCTCGTTGGGCCGCATGAGGAAAGACCCTGAACTTACACTCTTCAGTAAGTATGACTGAGTGAGACTGTAACTTAACAGTCCAGTGAACTGCTGTTCAAGACAAGTGAATATTTAATAAGCTTTGCGAAACTGACACATGATAACAACACATTTTATTTACCACAGTCTTCAAGAGAGCAGTTATTTTGGTGTATCGTGAGAGCAGCAAGCTGAAGAAAAGGATGGTGAGTTTAAGACCTTAAGTAAAAACTTTGCATTCTGAGTGTTAAAGTGACAGTTTGATGAAAAAACAAGTTTACACAATCTTCCCCTATTACCTCAGAAGTAGCCAGTCGGCCAAGATATGTTTGGTTTCTGAAGATTGCTCCTTTAGTTTTATACTGGAGCTACGAAGCTAATGTAGCTTACAAGCACTAGACACTAACCTAGCTATGATGATAACTAACACATTAAGTACTCTTTTGGCCAGAATGCCCCTTTAAATAATCTCAAATAAACTTGCTTATGTAGTTTCTGACTAAATATGACATACTATCCATAAAAAAAAGACACAAGTACAGACAAAATTCAGGCTGCCATGACTGTTTTAGCCACGCAACTTACTTTTATCTGGTTTCATTTATAACAGTCATAAATGTCTTCAATGTAGGTTTTATGTAAGGAAAAAATATGTAGATTTGAACTGTCACTGAACTATCACTGAACTATCACTTTATTTTTTTTAATATATTTAAGTTTATTGAAGTTGAATTTAGTTAAGTATATATTTCATTGTTCTGATGTAGATGTTTTGCTTGTCATGTTTCCTTAAGCAGACCAGCTCCCGCTCTGGAGATCTGGACCCCTTTAAATTCCGCTGGCTCATTCCTGCCTCGTCTGTACAGGTTCGCCCTGGAAACTCAGCAGGTGGGTGTTTATACAGGCCTGTCATTCACTATTATATTACAAGATCAGGCATTAGTCAGTGCATTAGTCTTTACATCAGTGTTAGCTGGCATTTTATGCTCCAACACAGCTGCAGCTGCAGTCTAAGCTTGTCTGAATGCTCAGGTGTCTTCAGCCCTGTTTTCCTTTCTTTTACAGGATCTGAGGATCCTTGTCTTTGGGAATTAGTTCACACTAAGTCGGAAGTAGAAGGAAGACCAGAAACAGTCTTTCAACTCTGCAGCAGGTAAAAGGGCTGGTTTCACATTTTAAAAAGAAAACTGGACATCTAAAAACAGACACAGTAGAGATCAATACAACTAGGGGTTATATGATGTACTTAGTACATATGTATGTGTGTGTGTATATATGCATTTAAATGTTTTTTAAATAAAGTTTATTTTTATTATTTTCTAGATTGTAGATTAACATATTCTGGTTTGTTTAACACTTTAATTCCATATGCGTTTGATGTCTTCAACATTAATCTACAATGTGGAAAATAATAAACATAAAGAAAAAGCATTGAATGGGAAAGTGTCCAGACTTTTGACTGGTACTGTATGGATATCAGTCTTAAAGGCATAGTAACAAAATAGACAGACAGTAATAGTTTGGAAAATGGTCATGCAAAAATAAATACGGCTATTTATAGTACCTAAAATCACACAAATGGGAAAAAATTAAATACAAGAAAAATGTAGGATATTAGCTTTAATAATTTAATAATTCTGAATCAAACCAAAATAATGAAATGGAATTAAATTGTGGTGAAATCTTGAGACGTCAGAGACGCCCCTACTTACAACACCTTGTATATCATCACACAGACATATAAACGTTTCAATCATCTCATCATCTATTTGTTTTTTGTGTACAGTAGTTTGGAGAACAAGGCCAATGCAGTGAAGGCCGTCCGCTCCATCCTGAGAGAAAATTCCAAAAGGAACGTTCCAGCTGAAAGAGGATCCAGAGATAATCTGACATTTCCCAGGAGGAGCCACCCAGCAGCAGTCAGAACCAGCTCCTGGCTCCAGAGGCTCCAGCCACAGACAGATGGACTTAAGCGCAGTCCACTGGATTCAGAAGAGGGCAGACTTGGTGGAGATACACATTCAGAACCTGCATGTGCTCCCAGAAATGAAAGCTCCTCTCTTAGCAAGAGGGCCAGGCTGTGCTCCCTGACCGGCTCGCTGGAGGCTCAGCTTCAGAGACTGAGCTTCATGGACCCACAGGAAGCCACCCACAAGAGCTCTGGCGGCCTGCAATCCAGTCAGTTGACCCTGCTGAAGGATACATCTGCAGTGGGCCTCAACAACCCGCTGGCTAGAGACTGCAGCATACAGAACCTGAGCTCTGTCGCAAATGAAGACTGCTTCTATGATACGGTTATGGGCATCCAGAAAGCTGCCATCCCCACACTGTAGATACATAAGGGTTCATCAGTTCTGGTCCTGGAGGGCCTTAGTCCAGCAGTTTGGGAATTTCCCTGCTCAAACATACTCATATCCAATATCTTTTCTCTAAAAACTTCTCAACTTCAAAATTAGCAATTTTTATCGAAGCACTTCACTTAAATTGAGCATCTGAAAGTAGACTATCATGCTCAAACTGTCCACGCCCTCTACTACACCACAGAAAGAAATAATAATAGCATCACCTCACACAGAGTGAGTGAATACTATTTAGAGTTGAAGAGAATAATCGTTTCTATATCAAAATTGCTATTTGAAAAACTTTCCAAATTGCAAGAGGTGCAGTTTTAATTATAGCCCACATTATCAACAATATTGGCTCAGGTTTTAAGTGGGGGAGTTTGACTTAAGAACACAAAGCTGTAAACTGCCATAGATGAGTTAGACCTGGTGGTTCCCAACACAGTCCTCAGGGCCCCCTAGACGCCCCACATTTTTCTTTCATTCCTGTTTATCCAAAAATGTAGACTGTCTGGGTGGCTCTGGGGACCAGTTGTGAGAACCACTACGTTAGATCCATTAGAAGCAGCCAAATAACCAACAGGTAGAACACTACATTTAACGTTCGAGCCTCGAGTCAGAATCAGTGGGTGTTCTGGTCTTCTTGGCAAAATAACAGGCCTGGACCTTAATTTATAGAAAATAGGCATAATATAAATCACACTCATAATATGGGTCAGAAAAATTGTTCAGCTCTTTCAGTGCTATTTCAGAGCAGATTTGTTACAGAATTGGATTATTAATAATTTTTTTTTCTCCAATATCTGATTCTGCACTTTCTGCTCATATCATTCTGATATTGACACCCATCAATACGGATATGGCACCACTGAAAAACAGTTAATTGTTTACCTAAAACAAAGTGCGCTACAGTTCTCTGCAATGTTCATATGATCCACATGGTCATTCCGACAGATTGCAGTACACTACGTGAAGCACAGGGGCGACAGGGCCTCTATTGTTTGATTCCACCGTAAAAGAAGTTGCCACACAGATTTATCAACTTTGTAACTGTAAGATCCATTCTTTCCTACAAGGCATGACGGTTTGATTAAATGTCTAAAAGTCAATAGATTCATCAATTACAGAAATAATAATTAGAAGCAGCTCCAGATCCCAGGTGTAGTGGGTGTGTTTGAGCAGGTGACTGTGTAGCCTCACAAGGCCAGACGTGATCTCATAGTGGGAATGTCTAGAGACAAACATTTGAAATTTTGGGCTAAATGTAGGAGGGAGTGTAGACTGATTAAGGGGGAAACAACCTGGGTGTGATGTTTCTAAACCTGGTGAGCATTAACCAACAGACAACAAGCCCGTAGTTAGCCCATGGATGTAATAATGCTAAAAAAATCCCACAAAAAATCATGTGGTAAAAAGAAACCTCTTGCAAGGGAAGACAGTTGAGGTAGCGTATCTGTAGCTATCTTGTTTTGTTTGTGTTATTGATTGTATTGACATTAAAAGAACACAGACTGTGCAGAGGGGGTATTTACAGAGTCCTGCTGGTGAGATCCGATTTAAATAAAAATAGTGTGTGGCCTTATTAATGCGTTGCAATGAGATCCTAACGCGTGGCCATGACTTAGTAAGGCATAGGAATGAGATAATTAAACTGTGGCCACCACTTAGTAAGGCGTGGGAGCATGATCATGCCTTACTACATTAGGATCTTGTTCTCACGCCTTACTGAGTCGTGGCTACGCATTATTTTTATGTATACAGGATGTCACCAGCGGAGCTCCATAGGTATTCCCATGTTAGTGGTGGATGTCTGCACCAGATGTTTAAGAAGTTGCCTCCGGGCATCTGTTATTGTTATGAGATCACGTCTGGAATGGCTAGACTCGTATTTGCCTTGGACTTCACTTCTCCAGGACCAGAATTGCTGCAGAGGATGCCTTGGCTTACCGAGAATACGCACAGCTTAAAGTACATTTGTGATATTTGGCAGACACTCTTATCCTTAAAGCTTAACCATGTTACAGAGGATGTAGTGTTGGGAGTCTTGCCCAAGGACTCATTGGTGTAGCATGGAGAATGGAACGTCAGTATGGAGGCCAGTGGTGTTATCCTGTACGCTACACCACCGGCTTGCTTTAGCATATGCTAATTTAGCCAGTGGCTTTTGCACAGATGCAGTGGACCTAAAGACATGACGGATTGGCTGACTACAATTGTTGGTCCTCAAGCACGCTGCCTTGCATTCTGAGCTCTACAAAACACACGTTGCCTTGATTAGCTTTCTTGATACAAGCCAAGAAGATTTCACATTTGTGAATACTGTCTTTATATTTATACTGCTTTCTGACAAAGGCTCTTCTTAGTTCAGTACTGGAACAGCTTGATTTAATCATGTTTTTATGAGCAGGAAAATTCTGAGAATATTTTCTAAGTTATAACTGTACATCTCCTTCGTGTATTTTGATTCAGTGTTGATTATTTTTTGCGATGGATGTAGCATGACTCTCATTTCTTAAGTTAAATACCTTTGAATACGTTTCTTTGTTGTTTACTGTAATTTACTGTATTTAAAGTACCTCCTGAACTATATTGTCTTTTGTAGTGTTACTTAATTTATTTGTAAAAATATGCTATATCCACCACCTGACCAGCTCTTGACCTTAAAATAAGCTTATATTGTAATATTTAATAAAATCTCTCTTCTACTCTTCCACTTCTGCTTCTTAACCGAGTCTCATTTTGCAAAGCTGCAGTTATGCTTTACATTACAGCTCGACCTGTGACCCTTCCACCTGATGAGAGCTGATGAGAAATTAGATTAATTTCAAAGAGGGTGGAAACGTATTGGCATGCAGAGCTGTCTAAATGAATGCTTTTATGCTGTATCTCTGGGCTCAGAAATACACTGGATCTAACAGTAGGCTGCTCTTGTGTGGAGAGAGAGAGAGAAAAGAACCCAAATGAATCATAATTATGGCTCTTTTCTTGAGTTCTTGCTTTGTTCAGGACGTCAGTGGGCGATGTTGATGTGAGCGTGTAGGAGAGTGGGCATGGATAACAGCTCTCTGTGCCAGATGCTCTTTGTCACCTTTTTTCAGGGAGAGGGAGAATAAACGTCATCTACAGCCAAGCAGGAAAAAAACATTTCCTTGATAAAAAGCACTTAGCTGCACTAGTTAAATCAAAAGCTCTATTGGAGCTGGATTAGTATTACCTGGAGAGGTTAATTCACTGTGATTAAGAAATTACTGACAAGATGTGTGATTTTAATCCAGTATGAATCTGCAGTGTGTGTAGTTTTTACAGTCCGACTAATAAACGTGAGGTGATTTTAATCCAGTATTAATCTTGGAAAATCAAGATCTTATTATTATCAAATACTAAGTCATAATACTGAGATAGTAAGTCAGTTATGATACAGCATCTAATTTTGAGGTGTTAACTCTTATTATGAAAAATATATTAACTCTAATTATGAAAAAAATCAAAATAACTATAGCAAGTCACAATAATGAGTTAGCAAGTCATGCAGATAATATAAAATCTTATGTCATAATTACAGTTATGAGAAACATTCTCATAATTAGGATGATATAGTAAGTTATAATTACGAGATTGTAAGTCATAATAATGAGGTAGGATCTTGATATTATGAGTTATAAACAGTCTTGTTTTGTGGTAGAAATGAGGTTCCACATTATCCCGTGCAAACTGGCCAATCAGAGCCTCCCAAATGACATGCAATCATCCAATAGAGTTTAGGACACACTTATAAAACTCTTTATAGACTAACTGGCAGTATGAAAGTCTCTAGAGAGAGAGCAGAGAACTCACTGGAACAGAATTCAGAGAGGGAAAAATGCACTGTTGAGCGTGATGGCAGCAGTTCATGCGTTGCCACAGTAACACCTGTGTGGAGGAGCGCAGAGCCGGCCCACCACACTCACACTGAAATGCTGAATGAGGCTCCAGCCCCCCAACATGCTGAAGAGAAGCCTTGGCTCTTCCTGCCCTCTATCTGCTCCACACTGAACTGACAGAGTAACTACAGAGAAACCAGGAGCTGCTCTCTCTCTCTCACACACACACACACTCCCGCTCTCTCTCTCTCTCTCTCTCCGTCTCTCTCGCTCTCTCTCTCTCTCTCACACACACACTCCCGCTCTCTCTCTCTCGCTATCTTTCCTATTCTCTCTATCTTTTATATTCTCTGTCTCCCTCTCTCTCTCTTTATCCTTCTCCCTAGCTCTCTCTTCTAAAATCTTTCTCTCCCTCTCTCTCACTATCTCTCCCACTCTTCTTCTCTCTCTCTCTCTCTCTCTCTCACTCTCACTTACTCTCTCACTCACTCTCTCCCATGCTCTCTTTAGCTGTCTCTTTCTCTTTTTATCCTTCACTCTCTCTTCCACAATCTTTTTCTCTCCCTCTCCCTCTCTCCCTTCCCCTCTTTCACTCTTTCTCTCCCTCTCTTCTCTCTTTTCCACTATTTATCTCTCTCTCTCACACACACACACACTCTTTCTCTCACTCTTACACTCTCCTGCTCTCTTTTACTCTGTCTGTCTCTATCCTTGTCTCTCTCTCGCTTCCACTCTCTCTCTCTCTCTCTCTCTCTCTCTCTCTCTCTCTCTCTCTCTCTCTCTCTCTCTCTCTCTCAGGAAGGTTCAGCCTCTTACTGGACGGAGCTCTGAGGAATGGACATGCCTTTCTCTCTGCGGACAGATCTGATGCTGTAATGATTCTGAGTTTTGGATCTTGACCGTTCGTTCTCTTTGTCTTTTTGTCTGTGTGACTGTGGAATGTGCTGATCTCCACTCTCTCTTATGCTAGAGCTCCCCATCTCCTGCCGTGGACGCGCGTTGTACACGCTTTGAGTGCACACTTGCTGACCTTGTGTGAATAGGTTTACTCACAGGCTGCTGGGATCAGTTCTGGGCTTTTCTCTGAAGGCTGGAGCAGAACATCAAGGTTTGTACATTATTTACCTTTTCTATTGAAAAGTTCGACTGAGAAATAATTCTGGTCTCAGAAATTCTACACGTGAAATCAATGTTTATTCCAATACTAGATCTAATGCAGGTCCAGGAATCCAGAGCTGGCTCACTGTGTTGGAGTAAATTGAAATGTAATTAGTGATTCACTATTAAAGAAGCTTTTAAGTCTTTATAATTCCAGACGAATTACTTCCTAAAGCGTATTATTCAGAATTAGGATGTTTCCTTCAGAGAGTTTTAAAGAGGATTGATCACATCTCAGTGCAAAACCCTCTCTTTAGCTGTTCAGGGCGAAGCAGCTTTATGACTGTGTGAGTACTCTCTGATAGTAAGTGTAAGGGCTGTGTTGAACCCCTTGAACCTTAGGCTTCTTTATTTATTGATGTAACAATGTACTACGCAACAATCAAAACTACTACCAAACTAATTTGTAAGCTGTGTAGTTAGGAGTGTTTGGAAATATAGAATCACCGTTGGACCCTTAGGAGTTTAAAGGGTTAACTTCAAGCCTGAATCTCATGCAGATGTAGTTTGGTCAGGCTGAATGAGGACCTCTTTATCAACAGGTGTACAACAGTCTGCCTCTGTAGGGCTCTCTGGACTACTATTGTGCTAATCCCCATGAACAAAGAACACCCAGGCCTCAAATTCACTCCTCAACCCAGTCACCTGACCTAATGTTCTTCATACAGGACCAGTTACCAGACAACAGAATAACACGCTGGAAAAACTGATGCATTAGTTGATTCAAATGAGCTTAGTAACTTTAAATGTGACACTGTCATAGGATGCCACCTTTGTCACAAGACAGCTGTGAAAATTCTTCCCTGCTAGATCTGCCCCAGTCAACTGTAAGTGCTATTATTGTGAAATGAAGGTGTTTAGGAGCAACAACAGCTCAGCCACGAAACGACATACAGTGCAAACTCACAAAACGAGGCTGCTGAGTGCCAAAGAATGTAGCATGTACAAATCTTTTGTTGTATCACTGACTACAGAGCTACAAACGGCCTGTGAAAGCAACATTAGCACAATAAGTGTGTGTTGAGAGCTTCATCAAATGGGTTTCCATAGCCGAGCAGCTGCATACAAGCCTAAGATCACTATGCGCAATGCCAAGTGTCCCTGACCGCAACCCCACTGAACACCTTTGAGATGAACTGGAACGTAGATTGCAGACCAAGCCTTCTTGTCCAACATCAGTGTCTGACCTCACAAATGCTCTTTTGATTAAATGGACACAAATTCCCACAGACACACTCCAAAATCTTGTGGAAAGCCTTCCCAAAAGAGTGGAGGCTGTTGTGGCTGCTATGGAGCGGGGGGCAACTCCATATTAGTGCTCATGGTTTTGGAATGGGATGTCCAACAAACTCATATAGGTTTAATAATCAGGTGTCCACATACATTTGGCCATATAATGTATATTACATCAACACAGTTAGCGCAGAACTATTTTTTTTTATTCATGTAGAAATTATGTCCACATTTGAATCAACAAAATTGAATGCATTTATTTTATCGGTGCAGCTGTAGGTCATTTGTGAGTGCCATTATTTCTCAAGCCTAAATGGGTGAACTTATTTGAAAGATTGAGTGAACAAGAAAGACAGCAGCAAAACATTTCCAGTCCAAATTCTCTGGCAAGATTTTCCATCTCGTAAATGTGAGGTTAGAAGCTCATTTTTAGTTTAATAACCTTATATGAACAGACTTTTTTAAACAACACTTTTAATCTGACTAAAATTGAGATAAACTGCCTGAGAATAAGTTAAATAAATCATGGATATCTGTAAATACACCAACTATGGCTACAGTTCCCCAAGAAGCAGCTTTGCACATCTTTGTGCTGCAGCAGTTTTGGTAAACAAAGATTTAGAGGCACTCTAAAAAGAAGTAGTGCTCGATAAATATTTAATCAGCCATGATTTTATTTGTTATGAGGCATGATACAGTAAGGACGAGCTATGGATCATATTCGAGGACACATATTTCCAGTGATAAATGACTTCTAAGTAAATATCTGGGAAAATATCATGCTTATGGCCAAGAACTCCAACAAAACCAAAACAAAATACTTGAACCATCCTGACTGAGACTTCAAGAAGGATGCAGCACCTACAAAATTTCCCCTATTAAATTCCTAGGTTTTGTTGTTGGGTCCTAACATTTGTTAACCTCTTAAAATTCCAGGTTTACTACATACTAAGGCTTATTATTCAGTAACTACAGGGCTGTCAATGCAAACTGGCTGAGCTATTCTTATGTTATAGAAGTGTGTAATAAAACTTAGGGCCTTAAGGGGTTAAAGGGCCCAAATCATGCACACCCGCTCATTTTTAATGTTTGGTTGATGTGGTTTGATGTGGTATGTAAACACTGTTAAAGTTTTTAAATGTCCAATCCATTACTCAGCCCATACAGTCCATATATGGACACTAAACAGCAAAAACGGCCTGTTTTGATTTTACTGTTTTCGTGATGTCACAAAAACCAGCACATTAATATATATATCCACCTATTCAGCCTACAGCAGTTTAGCCCTGCCCACTCACATAGTGGCTATAAGAAGTGTTTCAGACTGTTTTTGAATGAGGCACAATACACACAGCCAATCAGAAAAGAGATCATTTACATATACCTGTCTTAAAGACACAGTGACAAACACAATTGTAAGGGATAAAGAGAGGCTGGAAAACAGTCGTGCAAAAAAACTATGACTGTTTTCAGTACCTGAAGTCACAATAGAAGTCAATGGACAGAGGCTGAAGACACTACATTTCAACTATAAGTAGGTCAACAGCTTTTCTGTTCTTTCACCAAGTACAAGGAAAGAAGGGAGAGTGGTGTATAAACTAATGTGTAACATGGATAATTTATGTAAGATGGTTCTTCAAGGGTTCTTTAGTAAAGAAGATGGTTCTATGTAGAACCCTGAACACTCAAAGAACACTTTGCATGATCAGTTGGTTCTTCAGATTGATGGAGAATGTGTTGTCTTTTGTTCTGTATAGAACCTTTTTGAAAAGGGTTCTATACAGTGCCAAAAAAGCATTCTTATATTGTTACAACACTCTTAAAAAAAGAGGTTCTTCAAAGGTTCTACAGTTAAGAAAATAGTTCTATATAAAGCCATGAACATTCAAAGAACCCTTTGCATGAGTAAAGGGTCCTCTGCGTAATAAAAGCGTTCTTCAGATTGATGGAGATTGTTCTATATAGAACCCTTCCATTGTTACAAGCTTGACACCGTAACAATAGAAGAACCCTTGTAGTCTTCAGTCCAAAGAACCCTTTCATGATACAAAGAACCCTTTGATTCTATTTAGAGCCATTTTCTTTACGAAAAGAGCCCTTGAAGAATCATCTTTTTTAAGAGTTTCATAACAATAGAAGAACATTTTTGGTGCTATATAGGACCCTTTTCAAAAAGTTTCCATATAGAACCATCTACAGCACATTTTCCATCAGTCTGAAGAAACGTTTCACCATGCAAAGAACACTTTGATCATGCATGATGTTTTTTTTAGGGCTCATGGTTTCATACAGAACCATCTTCTTTACTAAAGAACCCTTGAATAACCATCTTTCTTAAGAGTGTAGTTAAACAGATTCAAGTAGAATGTGCTTTTGACCTTGTGTTGCCATAGCAACATCATCTAGGCATTCTGATATTAATGGGACAGATATTTTCATGCGATTCGCTCTGAAAGCTGTTTTCATACTGTTAAAGTAACTTTTTGGATTTTGTGTGTTTGAAAGTATGTTTTTTGATTACTGGATCGTGTATAAGTGTACATGTCACAGAATTCACTTCTATGTTATTTAATCTCGCTCATGGTGGCTAAAATACTGTATAGAACCATTTGAAACATGTAAATAACACAGTGAGAGCTAATCAGGCCTCCACATGGCAGGTTTAGTTTAACTCGGTGTCACAGCTGAGCCTCCTAAAGTAAACAGTGAGCAGTGATATCCTCCTACATGAATTCAACACAGTCATTTTTTGGACATTTTTAGCATCGATTTTTCAAAATATACTATAGATGTACAACCCCATTTCCAAAAAAGTTGGGACACTGTGCAAAATGTAAATAAAAACAAAACGCACTGATGTACAAATTATGTAAACAATATATTTAATTGAAAATAGCACAGAGACAAGATATCAAAACCTGAAACTGAGAGATTTTGTTGTTTTTTGAAAAGTGTATGCTCATTTTGAATTTGATGGCAGCGACACATTTCAAGTAAGTTGGGACAGGAGCATGTTTACTACTGTTGTTGTATCACCTCTTCTTTTAAAAACACTCTGTCAGTGTTTGGGAACTAAGGAGTCCAATTTTCACTGATCATACTTCTTTTGATGAACAGATTATGGTTGGAAAGCTCATCTGGAATTGTACTGGAACATAAAACTGTATTGAATTAATTGTGTTTGTATAAAGTTTTTTTTAGTGACTGTTAAAACTAGCCCGTCAGTCTATTACAGTTAACCCCACCTATGGGGTAATGCAACACTTGCACTCCTGCTGCATTTGGCTGAATTGTTCATATACAGTTGGTGCTGGAAACAACACTTACGTTTTCATTTTGCAGCAAATTTATTAGGAAAAGACTAAAATATGTTAAACTGTGCCCTGCACTTCCCTACAGCAAGATTCTTGTCATAGACTATATGCTGCTGTTGCAGCAGATAGAGCTCAGGCTGAAAAACTGGAGTATTTCTTTAGCACACTGAGATTACATAACACGAGAGCACCATTAGAGATGCAGTCTTTAGAGAGAAAAGCTGGCTCGCAGTGAGGGAAAAACAGCGCTATGAGAAATGCAGTGCTTCCCATCTCTCTCTCCTCTCTCTTCCCACGCTCTCCTCACAGCCAGGGGCCGAACGCACTACAAACACACTCGCCCGGCCCTGCTGGTCCAGCCACTCTGATGAACTTCTCATATACGACTGCACTCAAAAAGATGACCCAGCAGAGCTGCCTGGCTTCTAAACTCATGTTGACATGAATCACACTTGCACTGTATGTTAAGGTAAGTTTCATAATTTTAACTAAAGGAGAACTCCACTGATTTTTTCAAAAAATTCTGCATAATTCAGTGTCTGAGATGTAAAGAAAGTCATTCAGAGTGTTTTAATGTGAAACGGTTCACTGTAGAGAAACTTACAGACTCCGATTTCTTTACAGTGGTGGTGATAGGAACCAGGGGTCACTATGTCTACAGCACAGATATAGCCATTTTATTTACAAAACCACCAGTGAACCTACATGTGTCTGCTGAGGTTTATATTAAGATTGTGGTAAATCAGAAAAAAAGGAAACTATTTTGCATTCCCTTACTTAAGCATATCAGTAGTATACTTTGTAGTATCTAAAGAATACTAAAAGCATAGCTTTTTATTTCATGTATATGTTATGGAAAAACACCTACAATATACTTGATTAAATGTATTTCTTAACATATTCAAGTATACATTAATAACACACTTATTTTTATATATGTTTTACTTATTAACTCATAACTCAGTAAGTACCAGTGTATCAGTATGTCCAGTTCATTATATATATCATGTATAATGACAGTTATGTCTACAATCTACACACTTAAATTTACTGAAGTGCAACATAAAATGTTTGTAAAGGATCCAAAAGCACAACTAAATACTTGTAAGAAATATTAAACTCTTAAATTACAATTTAAATACACTTAAGATGCCATAAGATGTTCCATAATAACACTGTAGCAACCCGCTACTGGCTGACGCTGGCTGAGGCGTGGCTGACAGGCACACCACGAGGATCACGGGAGGCGCGCCCTCCAGAAAAGGGACTATTTGTGTTGTTTATTGTTGTTGTTTATTAGATTCAGGTATGTGTACGTGTTATTTGTGTTGTTCTGTGTCGGGGAGATTTTAATTAGTGTGGATTGGTGGTCACCTTCAGGGAGAAGTCTCTGGCTAGTGGTGACCTCCCCATGTTTCTGTATGTGCCTTTCTGCCCTGGTGTTTAATAAAGAGCACTTCTCCTGGTAGAATCATGCCCGTCCCTGTGTTTTACTCCATGCCGATGCTACAATACATTAGCATGTATTAAAGTATGTTTAAAATGTGAACATTGAGAGTATGTTCTTTTCATATTAAACACATTTTTGAAAAGTACACGTAAATGCATTATTCTTTCAACATGGGTACAACGTCCTCTCTGCCATAAATGGATTTTAATAAAATATGTTCTATGTAATAACTTCCTGTGAGGGAGCTTTTAGAGGTGGACGTCTGGTTCCTGTCACCACCACTATGAACAATTCTGACTCTCTAGAATGGAGCATTTCACATCACACCACTCTGAATGACTTTGTTTACACCTTATACAAGCTATTTAATAGTGCAGAAATTTTGAAAAATTGGTGGAATTCTCCTTTAAATTGAAATCGTCCAGTGACAGGAAAAGAAAACTGAGAAAGTTCTTGATGTAAGAGTCCTTCAGATGTTCAGAGATGTTTATGAGTCTGCAGGGAAAACCTTTCAAAAGCTTCTGACGCTCCGTGTTGACTGCTCCTCTCTGAGCAAGCTCAAATATGACTGTGCAGTGATCAAACTCAGTATTTTTAAACTCTGTTCCACATGGGTATTATTTTTGCATGGTGGGGCTGCAGGCCGCCAACCTGTGATGTTTCTGCAAATGCCTGCAAAGAATATTTTGGATTAAATACTGTAATGACTTGAAATCTGGTATTAAGTTCTGTTAAAAGGGCTTGTGAAGAGTGCAGTTTGATGTGGAGCAGTTGTAGCACTAAATCTAGCCAGAGAAATGAGAAATGAGAACTAAGCGATAACAGGAACACAGGCCTACATACAAGAAGTCCCTGAATACAAGCGAACTGCATTATTAATCCATAGCCTCCCACACAATCCCGCAACTGGGGCCACAGTCAAGCACGCTGACACACTCAAATGTGTCCCATTTTAGGACAGATACTCAGTCTTATATATAATTAGGCATGCTAGCACATGCACTTAACCCCTTAAAGGGCCAGTAGCTTTTTTACATAACCAGTCCATATATGGAAGCTATTTTGAAATAAAGGGCCCATATCATACATTTTTCTTGTATTTTATTGGTTCCCATGAGGCCCACTTAAAACATGGGTTGGTTCATGTACAAAAAAGGTTCTTAATTCATTTTTACGTGACTGTTTTCCAACCTCTTTTTATCCCATAGAATTAAACAGGGTGTTATTGTTATTGTGCCTTTCAGACTGATATATGTAAATGAGCTCTGTTCTGATTGGTTGTCCTTTATTGTGCCTCACTTAATAAGCTCTCAGAGCTGAAACACTCCTTATAACTTCAGTATAAGTATATAATTGTATGGACTGAGGAGTGAATCGTATGTTTTGAAACTTTAACAATGCTGCCTTATGAAGCAAGGAACATGCGGTTTTCCATTAAATGGGGCCTTTAATTGCTTGTGTGAGGCGACAAAAAATAAACCATAAAACATAAAGTGTGCCATAACTTTCACACAGGCCATACTGAATGTTTTATTTTTTCCCAATATTTTAAATACAGCAAATTATTACAAGTTGTGCAGTAAAATTTGCAACAAAATGCTGTATTTATTTTTTTGTTGTTTTTTGTTGTTTAATGTTGTTTATTGGGTGTTCAAACTTTGTATTCCACTGTAATAGTTTACAGCAGTTACTGAATCACTTTTCATAGTTACTGAATTATAACTCTTAAGATTAATATCTGAATAACAGCTGGAATTTAAGGGGTTAATAACACAGTACTTGCTGTGTCTACTGTGCCTATCAGAGCTCTCCTCCTACTGTTTCTCCTGCTCCAGAGGAGGTCAGGAGGCACCTGCATCTGCAGGAGATGTTTCTTTCCAGCTGGGGTGTGCCACTAGTGAGACCATATCTGTGGTAATGATAACTGTGGCATTTACACATCCGCTGTCCCACAGGATGCCAGAAGCCGCCCCTCAGCGGGCAGCCCACCCTCACCAGCCGGTCATATACCACAAAGAGAAGCACTGGGCAGACTACTGGGTTGAGTGATACCGCTGTAATATCATAACTTTAAACATAATGCTGTTACGTTCTGTGCTCTCTCGGGTGGAGGAGAGCATGGACAGTGTCCAAAATGAACATTTAATGTTTAGCAGTTATGGTTTTCTGGATTTGATTTGGGGCATTTTTGAGCTTTAAGTACAATTCATTATATTGTATAATAGTGTTGTAGTCAGCACTACTAGAGGTGAGTCCTGGTCAAGACCGAGACCTGGACACATCAAATCCTAGTCAAGACTAATTAAGATTTTTACAGAAAATAAAAATAAGAAAGGGGAAAAACCTGAAATTCATTTGGAATTTATTATCATTCATTATACATGATATACAGGCAGGAAACACCCTGAACAGGTCACCATAGAAAGAGAGAGATAGATAGATATGTAAACGGTGATGGACTGGTGACCTCTTCAGGGTGTTTCCTGCCTTCTGGCCAATCACCCAATGACTCCCACACCCCCCGTGACCCAGAAGGATAAGTGGTATTGATAATGTGAGTGTGAGTCTACAACACTATTATATAATATAATAAATTGTACTTAAAGCTTTTGTTGATATTCAGTAATGATAGAAAAAAAACACTTTCCAGTAACCTTAGTCAGAGGAATCACACATTCGGCTAGTCTCATGAAGAGTCCAGATAATGTCCAGATCGAGACTATGAATTTATGCTTTTAAGACCGGACTGGAGTACTACAACACTGTTATTTTACTTAAAAGACAAAACTCTTTTTCTCCATTGAAATTTTGGTCCATATCAAAACATCTCCTGCTTTTTAATGACATGGCCATGCACCAGCGGGTGGGACAATTAATATTAACCAGTAATATCACGTCTCAACTCCCCCTTCCACCACCACCCACCTATCATGGAGAGAAAACACTTAGCTAACTCAGAGACCCTCTATGATGCTGGGTTTCACTCACAAATATATGGTGCCAGGGCTAATATATACAACCCCATTTACAAAAAGTTGGGACGCTCTGCAGAATGTAAATAAAAATAGGATGCAATGATATGCAAATCATGTAAACCATATTTTTAAAGGAAAATACTACAAAGACAACATATCAAATGTTGAAACAGAGAAATTTTATTGTTTTTTTTTTAAATAAATGCCCATTTTGAATTTGATGCCAACAACGTGTTCCAAAAAAGTTGGGACGGGGTCATTTTTACCACTGTGTTTCATCACCTCTTCTTTTAACAACACTCTATAAGCGTTTGGGAACTGAGGTGACTAATTGCTGTAGTTCTGAAAGTGAAATGTTTTCCTATTCTTGTTTGATATAGGATTTCAGCTGCTCAACAGTTCAGGGTCTCCTTTGTCGTATTTTTCATTTAATAATGTGACAAATGTTATCAGTGGGTGGCAGGTCTGGACTGCAGACAGGCCAGTTTAGCACCCAGACTCTTTTAATACAGAGCCATGCTGCTGTAATACATGCAGAATGTGGTTTGACATTGTCTTGCTGAAATAATCAAGGCCTTCCCTGAAAAACACATCATCTGAATGGCAAAATATGTTGCCAAAACCTGTATATATCATTCAGCATTAATGGTGCCTTCACAGATGTGCACATCACCCATGCCATGTGCACTAATGCACCCCTAAACCATCACAGATGTAAACTTTTGAACTGTGCACTGATAACAAGCTGAGTGGTCTTTAGCTTGGAGGACACAGTGTCCATGATTTCCAAAAAGAATTTCAAATGTTGATTCATCAGACCACAAGACACTTTTGCACTTCCCCTCAGTCCATTTTAAATGAGCTCGGGCCCAGAGAAGGCGGCGCTGTTTCTGGATCCTGTTTTTGTACAGTTTCTTCTTTGCGTTTTTGAGTTTTAATTTGCATTTGTGGATGCAGTGATGAACAGACAGTGGTTTTCAGAAGTGTTTCTGAGCCCATGCAGTGATTCCACTGCAGAATCATGTCTGTTTTTAATGCAGTGCTGCCTGAGGGTCCAAAGATCACGGCCAGCAAATACTGGTTTTCGGCCTTGTCCCTTGCATACAGATATTTCTCCAGATTCTCTGAATCTTTTAGTTATTATTTACAGATGATAAAAAGCAAAAGTCCTTTGCTATTTTATGTTGAGTGATGTTATTCTTGAACTGTTGCACTATTTAATCGTGCTGTCTTTCACTGAGTGATGAACTGCTCCCCATCTCTACTTCTGAAAGTCTCAGCCTCTTTGGGAAGCTTTTTTATACCCAATCATGTTATTGACCTGTTGCCAATTAACCATCAGGTGTTTTTTTAGCATGACCCAACTTTACCAGCCTTTTCTTGCCCCCGTCTTGACTTTTTTGGAATGTGTTGTTGGCATCAAATTCACAATGGGCTTATATTTTTTATAAATAACATTTCTCAGTTTCAACATTTGATATGTTGTCTTTGTTGGTCTAGACATGGATTCTTTCAATGTGAAACCTTAAAGGGCCCATATCACACACACTATCATATCATTCTTATATTTTGTTTTTCCCTCAGATGTGATAAAATTAGTCATAATACATTTTATGTGACTATTTTCCAGCCTCGCTTTATCCTTTACAATCAAAGGGAAATTCCACTGATTTTACAAAATTTCATTTTGTAATTTTACTGTTTAATTAGATAATTAAGATGAAAAACAAAGTCATTCAGAGTTGTTTGGTGTGAAATGCTACATTCTAGAGAAACGCACTGTGTCAGAATTGTTTACAGTCTTGGTGATAGGAACCAGACGTCTAAATGCTCCCTCACGGAAAGTTATTACATAAAATGGTTATGAATACTGAGACATCAGGCATAACAACAGCTAGGGTTAGGGTTCATATATATATATATATATATATATATATATATATATATATATATATATATATATATATATATATATATGTATAGGTTAAATATACTTACACTTTTCTGTATGTTTGTCAGTATAACCCAAGCATTCTCACTTACACTAACAGCACACTTGAATAAACTTTGCTTTTTGCTAAACTTTGCTTTTTCAGGCTGTCAGTCTTCTAGTTGATGGTAAAGGGGCGGAGATTTGGTACAACTGTATGTTTACTCCATAACTGCGTGTATCTATGCGGGTGGCCCTGTGGGAGACTTTCTTTTAGAGAAATTATCAGGTAAATATGTTTACTACAGATTATACTATTCACTGCTTAAGAGCTGTTTATACCATCACAACTTTCTCACCAAAGTGGCAGCATGTGTTTCAGCAGTCAGGTGTTTTTTCTCAGTATCTTCGAGAAGGAAAAAAGAACTGGCAGTCTATCCCGATTGCATTCAGCCTCTCGCTTCCTGCTGTAATGTGGGTGCCTCGTACATAATTGGTTGTCACAGGTAATAGAAGTTCATTTCCAGCTGCTCTTTTGTGGTGGTGAAATTACTATGCCGAGAAAAGGAACGTTTATTATTATCTTGTGCTTTTGCTGGGGGCACATTTGCTTCTGTGCATGAACGACCTTCAGGTGAGGAGCCCCACACTCAGGCTTGCAGCATTAGTTCAGTGCGGACCCCCGCTTCATTCTCACCAAGGACACACATGGAGGTGTTCTTAATTATTATCATTTTTTATCAGGACCACAGAAAGGCTTTAGAACATACTTCATGTTGCCAAGGAGATGGTGTATGAGGCTGACAGAACTCTTATTTTTATGTTTTGTAGTGACCGGATCCCTCTTTTCCACGATGGTAGATCTTTCCAAGCTGACTGGCGCATTATAGCACATGCTGAGCATCCTCACCAAGGTAAATATTAAGGCTTCTGTTTGTACTGTGATGACCGATACATGTCCCTATCTACAAATTAACAAAGCACAATAGGACGAACAACAAAGGAAATCTGTGATTTCGTATTTTTTAATGTTCCGTGTTGTCACATGGTTGGGAGAGATAAGAGAAAAATCAATTAACTCTCACAAAACTTGCTCGCTTGTCAAGATTGCAAATTGAATTTCTCTGTGGTAGTATTTTAGCTTGCAGTTTTTGACAAGAAGGTTGTTGTAACCCCTTCGCCAATTGCCAGAGGGTTACTCCGCAGCTGAAAAAGCATACAGAATGATTAAACACTGCAAAAAAAATCACATTTCACTACAATGAAAGGCGAAATGCGGCAAGCTTTTACATCCTAAAACACAGAGAGAGGGTGAGAAAGGGGAGGGAACAAAAAAAAAACAGCAAAACAGAGAGTCTCCTTTGGCAGACACCAGCCCCCTGCGCCTCATCTGTCAGAACGTCACGCTTGCTCGCTCGGTTCAATTCTCATTTCGCTCTTTATCGCAGACCAGTGAAGCCTGTGCTGAGGAATTATCTGTGGAGAGGACCTGCGCCGGGCTGATAGGGAGCCGCAGAGCGAGGAGGAGGGACAGGAGGGCCACTGCAAGGTGAGCATTGAGTCGGGGGGGAAGGGACACCGGAGGCTGGTCGCCCGCAATGCCTTCATCCACCATGCAGATGCTCGCCTTCGTCCTGGCATTGCTTGGGGTTCTGGGTGCCACTGTGGCCACTCTGCTGCCCAACTGGAAGGTGAGTGCCGATGTAGGTTCCAACATCATGACGGCGATCTCGCAGATGCAAGGGCTTTGGATGGACTGCACCTGGTACAGTACCGGAGTGTTCAGCTGCACCCTCAAGTATTCCGTCCTATCCTTGCCTGCTTATCTCCAGACTGCCCGAACCACCATGGTCCTCTCCTGCATGATGGCCACACTTGGGCTCTGCCTGGCCGCCCTGGGGCTCAAATGCACCCACTGGGGGGGCAGCCACCGCTCCAAGGGACATACAGCCCTAGCAGCAGGGGCTTGCTTCGTCATTGCCGGAGTCCTGTGCCTTGTCCCTGCATCCTGGTTTACGAACGAGGTCATCACCACCTTCATGGACTCCAAAGTGCCCAAGAGCAGCAAGTACGAGCCAGGGGGAGCTGTTTACGTTGCATTTGTTTCTGCCGGGTTTTTCTTAGCCGGAGGCATGATCTTCTGCCTGTCGTGCCCGAGAAACAGAAACGGTCCACTGGACTCTGGCTCGTCCCACCCAGACAAGCTATTACGGCAGGTGGTCAACGACCGGCACAAACAGAAGCAGCACCGGGAACAGCAAAGCCAGACGGAGCCACAGGAACAGCAACACAAAGAAAAAACAACACACCAAGAGAAGCTCCAGGTGGATGAGATGCAGCCGGACCAGCCCAAGCCAGAGAAGTCCCAACTGGAGCAGGAGCAGCAGTACTACTCGCCGTCCAGGAACCGACTTCAGGATGCTAAGGCTGTCTACAGCTTGCAGGACTATGTGTAAAGACCCAGAAGTGGGTAAAAGCCAGGGAATGAGGTGCCTCTCTTTGTGAGGAGGTGGAGAAATAGAAGCAGCAGGAGGAGGAGGAGTAATGACTTTGGCCGCGTTATCTCCCCCTCTCATCAGTGCTTTCGCCTACTGCAAACGTAAGCGCTGGAGGTATTTCCGAAGCCTTGGATCAGGCAAGAACCGGCTATCCTCAGGCTACAAAGCCCACTGCCGCAGTGAGCATTAAAAGAGAAGCGATTCTGGAAATGCAGCAAATCTGAAAAGTTCCCAGAAACACTGTTTTTAGCTTATGAGAGATGCAGATGTTATATGCCAAAGGCTTGAACTACAGTTTGCATGTAATAGCTGCCTGTAATTCTTTGGGTGCCCAACATTCAGCAAGCAAAATAAGCCATGCAAGCGATTACTTCACACTTTTGTACCAAATGAATTCAGTTTAGTACCTTTTAGTCATTATTTTTGCATAATACATGAATATATTTTAAGAAAATAAGTCATTATTTTGACATAGAACCTGTAAACTCGGGGGGTAAACTTGTAAACCGAGGTGCAGTAATGCTTCAGTTCTGGAATCTGAAAAGTTCCCAGTCAGGCTGTTTCCAGCTTGTTGGAAATGAGGATGTTACTTTCAAGGGTTTGAACTACAGTTTGCATGTAATAGCTGCCTGAAATCCTTTGTTTGACCAACATTCCAAGAAAAATGAGTCAGACAAGCCAGTTACTTCACATATTTGCCCAAAAATTTGAATTCAGTTTAGTATCACTTCATCTAACTCATTATGTTGGCAAAGTAAGTCAATATTTTGAAGGAATAAGTCATTATTTCAACATAGAACCATACTTTCATGCAAAAAAAAATGCAAAATGCATTTCTATCTAGTCTAATTAGTCCAGAAAGTCTATTAGTCATTTAGTCTAAGTCATTATTGTGGCATAATAATCAATAGTATGAGAAAATAAGTCATTATTTTGACACAGAACTGTGTATCTTGTGGCAAAAACACAAAATACTCACTGTTGCTGCATTAAAAGAGAACAGAAGATTTTGGCGAATAGCGATTCGAGAGTCAGTTCCCAAAGAGACTGATTTTAGCTTGTTAGAGATGAAGACGTTAAGTACCAAAGTTGTAAACTACAGTCTGCATGTAACAGCCGCCTGAAATCCCTTGAGTGCCCAAGCAAAATTAGCCAAGCGCGCCGATTATTTCACATTTTTGCACCCAATCTTGAATTCACTTTAGTACCATTTAGTCTAATTACTCTATTTAGTCTAATTAGCCAATTAGTCACTTAGCCTAAGTCATTATTTTGGCACAGTGAGTCAATATTTTGAGAAATGTCTCATCATTTTGACATAGAACCAAGAATCCTTGGGCAAAAAACATACTCACTGCTGCACTGAGAATTAGAAAACAGGGAGATGGAAGCTATTCCAGCATCTTTCCCTTGGGTTCCCAACATTCAGCAAGCAAAATTAGCCAAGCAGGCCAATTATTCCACATTTTTGCAGCAAATCTTCAGTCCAGTGGCATTTAGTCTGCTGTCTATAGCTTGTGAATGCGACAGAATGTTTAGTAAATATAAACACAGACAAATTCAGCTTTAAGCTCTGGCCTAAGGCCATGTTTCACATCGCTTACAAAGCAAGAAAAAATAAAATGCATAAAATCAAAAGTCCCATGAAGAGATCGTACAGTGTCCAGTCCACATTTTCCAAAGAGTCAGGCAGAGCAGCACAGATCATCTGAGGTAATTATGCTCTTTGCTTTCCCATTAGGTTTCGATCCGGATGGGTGCACACTGCTCATTTATTGCAAGCAAGCACAGATGCGAGTGTACGAGTGTGTCTGAAAGCGTACACACACACATACACACACAAGCCCCCTCCTTCTCCCCCACCCTGCTCTTGCTGCGAGGGTAATAGGGTCTTGCACCCAATCATCTTTACTGCGTGTGACTGCCTGTCATTGCTGCAGGACGTACAGCAGACGCTGTTCTGAGGCCAGTGGGACGTTGTTTTTTCTCCATCATGAACAGAACAGGACAGAGGAGACCCGTGTCCCATCAGCCGAAAGCCTCAGGAGCCCCTGCTGGTCAGCAACTGGACCACTGACAGATTCAGCAGGACTGTTTTGCAGCCATTTACTGACAAGCATTTCATACGAGTCACAGTTTACAGAGGAAACGAATGTATTTTCAGCATATCGCCTTGACACTCTTAAAAGATGGTCCTTCAAGGGTTTTATTAGTAAAGACAATGGTTCTATATAGAACACTCAAGAACCGCTTCCATGTTGAAATGTTTCTTTGCATGGTGAAATAGTTTTTCAGATTAATAGAAAGTGAGTTGTATGTGGTTCTGATTTTTTCAAAAAGGTTCTATATAGCACCAAAAAGGGTTCTGCTATTGTTAAAATGCCAAGCTTTCTTCAAGGGTTCTTTAGCAAAGAACATGGTTCTATAAAGAACCATGAACACTCAAAGAATGACTGAAGGGTTCTTTGCACCATGAAAGGGTTCTTAAGAATGTGCTCTAGATGGTTCTATATAGAACCTTTTTGAAAAGGGTTCTATTTAGCACCCAAAGGGTTCTTCGACTGTTATTATGTCAAGCTTGTAACAATAGAACTCGTTTTGGTGCTACATAGAACCATTTTCAAAAAGGTTTTATATAGAACAATGTACAACACATTCTCCATTAATCTGAAGAGCCATTCCACCAGGCAAAGAACCATTTAAGCATGGAAATGCTTTTTTGGGTGTGTATAGTTTTATATAGAACCAGTGTCTTTACTAAAGAACCCTTGAAGGACCATCTTTTTAAGAATGTAGTCTTCATTCTTTAAGCTGCTTTTAAAGGAATGGCTCAGCAAAAAAATCAGATTTACACAACAGTAGCCAATCAGCGAAGACATGTTTGGTGTCTGAACTTCTTTAGTTTTGCACTGGAGCTATGAGGCTGATATAGCTAACAAGTAATGGAAGATAATGTGTCTAATATGTTTAATTCAGTCGCTGATTTTTCTTTCAGTGGTGGTGATAGGAACCAGCGGTCACAATGTCTACAACACAAATAAAGGCATTATATTTACTATCCAAAACACCAGCGAACCGACCAGTCTCTTCTGACTTTTTATATCGCTGCTGTTGGAACAAAACCTCGTATCGATTTTTGCTGTTTTTTTAGTTTTTGACATGATTTAACAATTATTGTTGCCCTTTACATTATGTGATTGATATATCATGATGATTGGATCAAAGGAAATCGTCCAAAATTACTTGGAAAAAAGTTTAGTTCCACTGACTTACAAGTAAAGTAAGTTTTTTCCTTCTCCTGTAAAGTTACCATTTTGGAGATAAAAGGTTTTATTCTGATAGCAGTGATATGATCATGATGATGATGGTGAAAATCTAAAAAAAAAAATGTTTTTTTTTTTTTAATTTTGAAAACTTGGTGAAATTCCCCTTTAATTTACCTCAAATAGACTTGTGCATGTGGTTTCTGACACTGGATGACATACTGTTATCTACGCTCTTGAATCTAAACAAGAAAATGGTTCTATATAGAACCATGAATACTCAAAGAACCCTCTACATGATAAAAGGGTTCTTTGAACCAAGAAAAAGTTCTTCAGACTGGATGGAGGATGTGCTGTAGATGGTTCTATATAGAATCTTTTTGAAAAGAGCACCCAAAAGGGTTCTTCTATTTTTACAAGCTTGACATTGTAACAATAGAAGAACTCTTGTAGGTGCTATATAGAACCATCTAAAGGACATTCTTAAGAACCATTTCATGACGCAAAGAACTCTTCAATCATGCAGAGGGTTCTTTGAGTGTTCAGGGTCTTTTATAGAACCATTTTCTGCACTAAAGAACCCTTGAAGACCCATCTTTTTTAAAAGTGTAGTAGAGCTCTTAGCTGTGCCACATACACATTTGCCACATCTCCATTTTACATAACCAACAGGGATGTTTGACTTACAAGCTGAAAATAGATGAACTGTGTTGTCTTTAAATAACTGATTTCTGTGAAAAGGACAAAACTGAATAAAAGTACATTTGAGTAAATGAAAGAAGTTGATCCAAAAAGAAATTCATTCCAATGAAACCCAATAAATAGCACTGAAATGTTTGGATTTTGAACCATTGACAATTTTGCTGAGGTTTAAAGGTTATACTGACTCTGTTTGACTGAATGGAAATGTAAGGTGTACCTGAAGTTCATACAACACTTTATTTTTTGAGTGTCCAGGATAAAGAAGCAAACTTCAAACTTAGCTGATGGGGTAAAAGGGGAAACCTGTGTAAATCTGGCTGAACCATCACTTGATGTCCAAGGATGACCATGGCACACTTTGTGCTGTTCACGTTTTGTCTTGTAAGTGAACACACGCTTTCTTTCAATTGACGTGTATCTGCAGAAAATAAAAAACAAAAACAACAATTTGTGCCTCAGTCAGGAGGAGCTGGAGCCACGGGTGGGCTTTCACTGCGAAATTTCACAAAATGTGTTTATGAAAAGATACGGACAGATGATAGTTTAGACTAAACTTGACCTGTTCTGCCTCCCTTAGGCCCACCCTGCACTGAATTGACACGACTCAAATGTGCCGATCAGGTGTTTGTAAAATGTGTTACACCAACACAACTCCTGCCAAAAGAAGTGAACTGAAACACAGCAGTGAATTTTGACTCATTTGAATCATTAACCATTTGTTTCAGTGTATAATTAAAGGGTAATTCCAACGATTTTTCAAAATTGCCACGTAATTGAATCATTTAGATGTGAACAAATTCATTCAGGGTGATTTTAATGTGAGATGCTCTGTTCAGAATTGCTCATGGTGTTGGTGATGGGAACCAGACATGGGAAGAGTTTAATGCCTCTAAAAGCTCAATCACAGAAAGTTATTACATTAAATGGTTATGAATTTCCTGCTTGACACGTTGTTGTCTGACACATTTTTAATAATAGTTTTGTTATAAAGTTTTTATTTTAATTCATTCATGGCGGAGGGACACATGCAGGGTAGTCCCCAAAGAAAACATTTTTTTTTTTTCGCTATTTTACCTTCATCAACATTCCATATAAAACTCAGAAGACATGTGTAGGTTCACTGGTGGTTTCGGATAGTAAATAAAATGGATATATTTGTGTGGTAGACATGGTGACCCCTGGTTCTCATCACCACCACTGCAAAGAAATCTATAAGTTTCTCTACGTTAAGCTCTG